TACACCGTTAGATTTGGCATATCAAAGAACCCCAATAATTCAATTTTTGATAAAATAAAACAAAAGTTTTATTTTGGACCCTTTTGACCTCAATATGAACCAATTTGATAGCGGGGCCCACAAATAAAAAATCTAAATACATGGTTAGATTCAGCATATCAAAGAACCCCACATATTCAATTTTTGTTAAAATCAAACAAAGTTTAATTTTGGACCCCAACTTAAACCAACTTGAAAACTGGGCCCAAAATCAAAAATCTAAATACATGGTTAGATTCAGCATATCAAAGAACCCCATATATTCAATTTTTGTTAAAATCAAACTAAGTTTAATTTTGGACCCTTTGGACCTTAATGTAGACCAATTTGAAAACTGGACCCAAAATTAAAAATCTAAATACACGGTTAGATTTGGCATATCAAAGAACCCCAATAAATTAATTTTTGATGAAATAAAACAAAGTTTAATTTTGGACCCTTTTGACCTCAATACGAACCAATTTGATAGCGGGGCCCACAAATAAAAAATCTAAATATATGGTTAGATTCAGCATATCAAAGAACCCCATATATTCAATTTTTGTTGAAATCAAACAAAAGTTTAAATTTTGGACCCCAATTTGGACCAACTTGAAAACTGGGCCCAAAATCAAAAATCTAAATACATGTTTAGATTCAGCATATCAAAGAACCCCAAGAATTCAATTTTTGTTAAAATCAAACTAAGTTTAATTTTGGACCCTTTGGACCTTAATGTAGACCAATTTGAAAACTGGACCCAAAATTAAAAATCTAAATACACGATCAGATTTCGCATTACAAATAAATAAATCAAATTTCCAATGGAATTTTCAACCATAATTACCCATTTAAATTTACCATAGTGCTAACTTAATCTATTTTATAATAGAATTTAAAGTATGGTGTCAAATCTTTCATATGGATTTTTTTGTAAAAAAAAAAAGATGCAACATTTGCAGATATTTTTACTGGTCTTCCTTTACAAATATGCATTTCTTTAAACATAATTTAAAAGCAGTGTAAGGGAAGTAATCAAAACGTTGTATGTGGATTACCTCCCTTACACTGTTTTAAATTGTCTTAATTGTTCATTAACCATTACTTTATACATAATTTAAAAGCAGTGTAAGGGAGGTAATTCAAATGATGTATTTGATTTATCTCCCTTACACTGCTTTAAATTATGTTTTGTACTAAAGTATTTGTCCATATAAAAATGCATGTTTTTTGTCCCTTATTTGGCCCCTAATTCCTAAAATTTTGAGGCAATTACCCCCAAAATCAATCCCAGCATTCCCTTTGAGATATGAAACCTTGTGGTACAATGTCAGAGAGATCCATACACTAACACACAAGTTATGTCTGGAAGTTACAAACATGCTTATTTTTGGCCCCTTTTGGGCTCCTAATTCCTTAACTGTTGGTACCATAACCCCCAAAATCAATCCCAACCTTCCTTTTGTGGTATTGAACCTTATGGTAAAATTCCATAGAGATCCATTTACTTAAACTAAAGTTAGAGTGCGAAAACCAATGTGTCTTCGGACGACGACGACGACGACGACAACGACGACGCCAACGTCATACCAATATACGATCGCAAAATTTTTTTGCGGTCGTATAAAAAGGGGGGATTTTCCAGTTTTCGGACAAAAACTCAAAAATGCTGTCAGCAATTCTCATGAAACTTTGGTGAATTGTCTATATCTATTGATGTAAGCTCCCTTTACATTTTCATAAATTTCTAATATGACATTGAGAATTGATTGAACTTTAATTGTTTATAGTCTGACAACAGATTTTCTAAGTATTGCGCAACAGCACAGTGTATTGCACAACAGCAAGAAATCTTTAATTGCATATAAATTCAGTTCATATAACCAATTTCAAGTTCTTTGACTACATTTATTCAGAAACCTATAATATGTCAAATATTTAATACAATCCAAATTCAGACCTGTATCAAGCTTGAATATTGTGTTCATTTTTGCCCCAACTGTTCAGGGTTGGACCTCTGAGGGCGTATCCAGCTGCGCTCAGTGAAGCAGTTTATTAAAATTGGAGTTATCTTCCTTTGTCCATGATTATAGTTGAATCAACTACAATCAATGCTTTATACAATGCAATGTTTAATTTTGACTTACACTGATAAAACACAGATCAAGTTGAATTTGGGTAGTGTCACTTTAACCATTATTGAGTTATGCCCCTTTATAAATCGAAAGATTGCAAAATTTTTATTTTCCATTCTGTAACTTAAGTTTGCCCCAACCAAACATTATGAAACATATACACAATATTCATTACCACAAAACTAAGATCAAGTACAAATTTTTTGTTTCCGTTTTCTAGCTTAAGTTTGCCTCAACCAAATGTTATGAAACTTATACACAATGCTTATTACTACATAATACAGATTAAGTACGACACTTTTAACATTCTTGAGTTATGTCCCTTTTATAAACATAAAAATTGCTGATTTTTTAGTTTGTCTCAACCAAATGTTATAAAACTTATACACAACCGTTCTAGAGTACGTACTTCTTCCATTCGCCAGCCATGATACCGGTATATATAATGTTACCCCTGCTCACCACGGGGAGGTGGAAGTAGAATTTCGAGCAGGATATAGTTAATAAAATGTGGAGTTTATAACGCACCAAGTTTAAAACATCGTTTAATTGCAAAAAAACAAAGCACTGTCATAAAACTTAAAACTCGGCAATGGCAATATTTTAACAAGTCAGTTCGGGCTTGTCAATTTAAGTTCAAATTCATATCCTAGGCTTCTGACATAAAAAAAAAAGCCCTCGTCATTTCCTGCTGGCAGTACCGAGAATGCAAGTTCAGGAGATTCTATTCCTTCTTCTTGTCCATTTGACTCTGAGGTGCATTTTGATGTAAGTCACAGATTGTAAAATTGTTTAAATACTTGCAAGACATATATATAGTTATATGAATTAAAGGAAATAAATGTGGATAGTGTCCACATGTGGACACAGATGATGCCCCCGCTTGCATATCATATAGTTATAAAGAGACATAACTGAAGAACGGTAAAAGTGACGCTACCCAAATGTGAACTTAATCTGAGTTTTGTGGTAATAAGCATTGTGTGTAAGTCTCATAACATTTGGTTGAGGCTAACTTAAGTAGAGAACAGAAACTAAAAATTCAGCAATTTTTCTATTTGTAAACACGCATAACCTGGCGAATGGAAGAGGTACGTACGTACTTCTTCATAATTCTTAATTTTTTTTCGCTCAAATGTCCTATGCTTATTTTTATTTTTGCTCAAATGTCCTATGCTAATTTTTATTATCGCTCAAATGTCATAAATTTTCGGCGCGGCTCAAATGTCCCATACTTTGGCGCTCAAACGTCCATTTTTATCGCTCAAATGTCCGTTGCCGCCCTCACCCAGATGCGGGCTTCAGCTGACCCCTTAACAATAATGTATACTAGATTCCACACCTGAAGGATCAATCCGGGGAAATCCCCGCGAATACCAAATGGTTGTCCCCTTACTTTTCGTTATCACAATTTAGTATCTTATACGCTGCCTCTTTTGCAAACCCCTCTGTACAGTTCATTTTCCAACTTGTTTAAGTTATTGACCTGTACACGTGTAACCGGAGAGCATGTTTCTTATTAAAAAATCACATTATCTCCTCCGGGACTCGAACCCGGGATCTCTGTATTACAAGTCAGCTCTAATCGACCGAGAGAAGTACTTCCCTAGCTCAATCGATTACGCTGGCTAAGTATCTACTACTACAGATTCTTTCTTTCTTTATTATTAAGATAACTAATAGTACATTAGTGTTCTCCATTACAATTCACATGATAATATACAAAACAACATTTCAAAGTTTCACATGTAGTCAATATATATAATAATAAAATTGTACCCATAATTTTAAGAATTGTTTCTTATTTCTAATGCATCTCTAATTAATTTGTATAATTACATTCAGTAATATTTTGTGGATTTAAAAGTTTAGAAACTGAAAAATAATTATTATGTGAATCATTCAAATCTAAACCATGAAATTGGAAAAATGTTTGCCTTGTATCTTTATATTTATCACAAGATATAAAAAAATGTTCTTCTGTCTACTTCAGTGCAAAATTTGCAAAAACGTTGTTCTCTTGGAATTTTGGGTTTATTGTATCTACCCGCTGTTCTATACTAGTATTTAAACAATGAGCACTGATACATAGTTGTGTAATTTTACTTTTTATATTTTTGGTAAGATTGGTTTGAAGATAGAAGGGAACAAAATTTGGAACAAAAATATTACTGAAAAACATCAGTTTACTGTCCACAGCTCCAGATTTGATTTTTTGTAGTTGTGAGTCAGATTGTTGATTATAATATCTTATTAGACTATTATTTTAAAAACACTATAATTTGTCAAATTGTTTGTATCAAGTTAAGTACTTTCGAAATATCTTATTTAGGGTAGAAAACCAGCATTTTGAGTTTTCTTGAGATAATTCTTGATCTGCAGTAAATGCACTATATAATATTCTATCTCTATTTATTTTAAGTAGTCTCATATAATAGTTATACATTAAACCAGAGACATATAATACATATGTATTATATGTCTCTGATTAAACATAATGAGAATATCAACATTGGATTCCTGTTACATTCAAGTCTACTAGCTGTATTTGATGACTGTCTTTTGACCCCCAGAATAGATTTCAACATCTTGTGTTGTAATTTATCAATTGGTAGATTGTCAAAATTATTTTAATTTATGTTATAATCGCATAACCATATTTCACTACCATATTTGAAAATAGGAAAAGTCCGACTTGTCACGGGCCGAGTCGACTTATTAATATAATTTATATCATATCCGTAAACTGGGACCCCTGTCTAATCTCTGCTTCGCATCATTAGCCCAAACATTGAGCCAAGGACCCCAGACTAAATATTTCTTATCGTAACACCTCGGTTATTCTCGACAATATTCATTGAGAATTGACGAGAAGTTACGATTGCGAAAAGTCCCAATGCTAAAAATAAAGCCTTGGTAATAACCTCTTTTTCCCTGGGGACTTGCCGAGTAAGCAGGTGCGTAAATTATCACTATTTGACGATGAAGCGTTTGAATGTTTTTCTGTGCTTTTTATATTCTCATGGCCTTCATTTATACTTTAGAGTAAGGATTAGGTTCGGCCTTTAGGTTTCGGTTTTACAGTTTCAGCCTTCAGGGCTAGGGAGTAGGGTTGGGTATGGGAAAGAAATTATTTAAAAAAGTGTTTAAAGCTTAATTTTGTATAGCCCTAAATAGATTGGGTCATCTTAAGTACAGAAGGCCATGTTAGACATTAAATATTAAAAAGTGTTCTTCCATTTTGAGTTTGTTTTTAATGAAAAAGTTACACTTTTTGACCAGATGTCAATCAGTGTATAAAATGATGTCATTGATTCTTACTATGACGTTGTAGCATAAGTATTGTGACATATAATATTGACATAGCAAATGTACAGGAAAGTGCACAAATTGAAGTCTGGAACCATATAGGTAAATTACGTATATAATTATAGTCATACGAGATAACTACATGTAAGGTCAGTAAGGATATGTTAGATATTTTTTTCATTTTGTCTCTGTATTAAAGTTAATAGTGAATTATCCAGCTATAACGGAATATCCTCAAAGAACTTTGTTTTAAATACTAATATTAACATGATTAAACAAAATTTAACTGATAGATTTTTTACAACATGTACAAAACTGTAACAAGATGGTCAGATCATATGTTTTCGTACGTCATATGACTTCGTACAATGCATGCTTTTTCAAAGGAAATTGTGACGTCACAATGCATTCTTAATAGCACAAAAACCCATGAGACGAGGATAGAACTGTCTGAAATAAGAGATTATGTAAAAATCTGTAAATATTCCTTTTTCGTCATATTTATATATACGGAATATTTATACCTTAATTTTCAAAGAGGTCTAAGAAAAAAACTTTACCAATTAAGAATAAGTGCACACTCTTCTTATGATATCCAGTTATCCATCAGATTTTTGATGATTACTAACTGCTGGGCATGCGTAGGATAATCATGATAATTATTAATAAATATTTAAAAGAAAGTGCAAAAAAATAAATACTACATTGTGTAACATGACGTGGTCAAAATGGTGGTTAAAACTATTTACATAACTACTATGTAAGGTTTACTGTTCTATATTGTAGAGAACAGAAGTGTCAAAATATCCTCACTAGCAATAGAAACTGGTAAAATTGAATATACAAAACCAATTAATAACACCCACTAGTGAAAAATTTTGTAAGTTTTGCAGAGGAGTCAGGACATGTTGAACATGGGATACATTTCTTGCTCATATGTCCTCTGTATACCAAAATTAGATCAGGGGAATCAAGGAAATAGATCTATAGAAATGACAAACCCTAATTCTGAAAAAGAAGTAAAATTTATTTCTCTTTTGTATATAAAGGAGGCTCTTGAATTAAAGGCCCTGCATACTGTTTTTCACCAAATATCAATCCTATTAAAGACAAAATTACATGTATATATGATTAAACATGTATTATTATTTATAGAAAAAAATACTAAGAATTGTACTATGATCTACTATGATAGTTCACATATTATATCTGATAAATGTATCAGCTAAAATAAGGAATTATTTGTTATTTATTTACCATATAATATGTAAAGTTTATAGATTTGTTTGTACTGTCAGATTTTGTGTGCAATTGGATCATATGATTCATATCTATTGAGCTCTTTTTAACAAAATATTGAATAGAACTGTTAGTCATAAATCAAGAAAACACTGAAGTTTCATACATGAATACATCATGTACATGATCAGGTAATGATGGATTTTAAACAAAATGGTGGTAAAAACTTATTGCCTCCTGCAGTCAGTACCCTTCTGTTTAAGGCAAAGTCATGAAATGCCAATTATATCCTTGACCAAAGCTCCCTATCCCAAGGGTGACTGGTGTATAGAGATATGGTCACTATTGGTCTTCTTCTGAGTGGCAGTAACACCCTTGCCAAAGTAGCCTACTAGGGTGTCTGTTTGGCTCTGCAGGATGTATAAATTTGCAGTCATGTACTGCCAGCTTCAGGATGTAAATTTTAATGCTTACATGTAGTGTAGAGAGAATGCCACACACTCTGCATTATTAGAACCCTTGCAACAACTCTTTGAAATATTTGAAACTGGACATAAAGCAAACAACAATCAATCAATATCAATACTTCTTAAAGTTTCATTAGTATTTTCCAGATACTGTAGTAAGATCTATCGCCAGTATAACATGTTACATATTGAGGAATCCTGTACTAAGGCTCATTGTTCAGTAATTCAATAGCATAAATGTTTAAGTTTTAGATTGTTGTCTATCGCGATTATGTGTCCACTACATAAGGCAGCAGGATTTTGTTAAATATATAAAATCCACTCTGAATAGAGTAGATCTGTGTGGTTACTTACCACTTTCAACCTTGTAAAGACATAACCACAAAAAAAAAGGCAGCGCTATAAGACAATGTAAGAAAACTATTTTAAAATTGAACATTTTAGGTTTTATTTACACCATATTTCAATCACATCTCAATTAAATCTTCCATAAAGAATGTATACATATATACAGTGTATCATATAAAACATGATTTACTTCAAATTTTGCAGTATTTTATTTTTTAATAGTTTCATAAAACATTTTTTTGTGAATTGGTACACTGTAATTTACTTATATTTATTATCAACCACTTATGAATAGACCATTGGAAATAAAGAAAGTCAGTTCAATGATATGGATTGATAGATTGATTGATTGTTGGAGCTTAACTTTCGGCACTCTTGGCTATATCTTTGCAACCAGCAAAGGAAGCAGGAGGACCTAGCTAGAACGAGGACCTTCAGCTGGAAAACTGGCAATCCTGGTCAATTAAGATTCGAGTCCAGCATTTTAGTTTGTGTTATATGCTTGGTCTGCACCAAATTGTAATACTCTTAGCATCAAGCTTACTTGGAAGTTCTTCAGTAACCAAGAGCTCATACACATACTAAAAGATGAAGTCAAGATGTCCTATATCAGTGTAAGCAGTATCCTATTTGTTGATATCCTTTACATTTATTTCTCTAATTCTTCGTCAATTTATCCCTTTCTGCACCCATTGTGTAAAAAAAAATTTAATCAACGTGTGGTTCGTTTGATCTCAGTTCTTCATTGGTTAAAATCCCATTATGACGTCGAATTTTCTTGCTTTCCTCTGAATTTCCTATTGTGACGGCATGAAAAAAGGCGACCATGCCTGATGACGTCACATAGAAAGAACACATCTTTTTGCAGATCATTCGAAAAGAAGGAATAAATTTGCTTGCGTGTTGTTTGAAAATCATTAGAGAAACAGATTCCACCACCAAATCTCGTGTAATACGATATTTATCCACTCTCGACAGTTAAATTTTAAATATTTAAAACGCTCGGCAAGCCTCACGTTTTAAATTTGGAAAATTTAACTGTCTCGAGTGGATAAATATCGTATCACACTCGATGCAGTGGTAGAATCTATATATATATGTCTTTGAATGAACTTAATCTATGCTTATTTAAAAAAAAATATTTGGAAAAAACATTTAACAGATGAATGGTATTAACACGATTAAATACTGAGATCTTTTCTTTTTACATGTTTTAGTTAGTTGTAAAGATTGGATTCTTACCCATCCAGAATGGTGTCAATGATGAACAGACTGAATATACATGACCACCGTGGTGGATATGACGAGGTACCCCAGCATCCATTAGACAGATTAGAACCTCTGAGAAAAAAAATCATCAGAAAAAACACTTTCGATCGCTGGCCTAAAGATGCTATAATCAGTCGTAATAATTTGATTGACGATGGATTTTATTATATGGGAACAGATGATAAAGTTCAGTGTGCATATTGCGGGGGAGTCCTCAGTGGGTGGCAGAAAGGTGATAATGTTCATGAAGAACATAAAAGACATTTTGGGAAGTGTCCAAAGATGAGGGTTGATACTGTGAGTGATGATGAAAATGACCTTGAGACTGATGGTGTGGCAGATTATAGTGAGTATGCAGACCAACAAGATCAAGCACAACAAGGTTCACCCGTACATCAACCTAAACAACATAATTTTGGATTTCAGAATGAACAAAAAGATGATTTTGTGGAAAAATCTATACCTGTCGCAAAGGTTCATAATCCAAAATTTTCCTTGTACATTGACAGATTGGAAAGTTATGAAAATTGGCCAAGTGATCATCATTTAAAACCTGAGGAATTAGCATCTGCAGGGCTACACTACAAAGGTTTGTTTGCTTTATAGATAAAAAGATTATCATAACCTTCCCTGGTTAAATTACATGAATCATCCTGTCTGTTAGAAGCTGTTTTGGCTTTCTCGATGCAAAACATGATGTTTCCTTATCTCAACTGTTTAAGCTACTTGGTTGGAATAATTTTTAGAGTATACCGGTAATTGAATATCATAGAGATGTACTTATGCATAAATGTATTAACAACTATGCTCAAGATAATTTACGTGTTATTATTAAATCATGACGTTAAAATTAGTATTCTCTCAGATCATAAACTGATAGAAATATTTTTGTACCACAACCAAAATCTTACATTATGAAGAAATTATTCCATTATTCAGATGTACACTGTAATGTTATGGAATCATCTACACCCAACTTTAACTTTCAACTTTGGATTAATTCAAGAAGAAATAACATATCTATTTGTTTATGAATTGAAATGCAAAGCTATACATTTCATCGAAGTTTATTAAATATTTCCATGATTTAAAAAAATATTTGTTCAAAAATTAGCATTTTTGTTTGTATTTGTAAAAATGGTTCATAGATTCAGTAATCAGTATGTACATGTACTTCATCTTGAAATTAAGATTAATACAAAATTTAATGTTCTTTATATGTTTTTACATGTAGGTTCAGGGGATAAGTGCCAATGTTTCATGTGCGGAGGCATACTAGAAGAATGGGAAAAGGAAGATATACCAAAAGAAGAGCACAAGAGATGGTTTCCAAAGTGTCATAACAGCATGGACAATGAGTGAAGAAATCTGTTACAACTAATTATAAGTCCCATTTATTTACACATACCTGCCAACATTTCAAAATGCCCATGGGGGTTTAGCGTGCAAGATGGCTCTCATTGTCCCACAAAACCTTTAAAGGGGCCTTCAAATTTATTTTAATGATGTTTATTTGCTTCTTCACAATCTTATACCCATGGTAAAATTGATTGTTTTGTTTAAAATTGTGGACAAAATTGCTTTTTTAAAATTTCCAATTGGGAGCCTCCATGGGGGAAATCCCCACAAATAGTGACAGTTGGCAGGTATGTTTTCCATTTATAATATTACTGTTTGATTCATTATTATTCATGGGATAACAATTTTCATGGATTTCGCAGGTATATGAAAACCACTAATTTTAATGTTCAATGAAGTATAAATTTTCTATAGTCATATATGCAGACTTTGGCAAATTCATGAATTCAAATATTCATGAAAAATACATTTTATTTGCTCAATCCAAGAAAATTGTTACCCATGAAACATATGAATCCACAGTAGTACAATTGTATAACATTTAAATCAGAAGTGATTGTGATAATGTTGTTAAATTACTGAAGGTTGAACAGTATTTTGAACTGTGTACTGTAAATTAAAAAGAAAAGGAGTATACCCCCTCAAAACCAGGGAGATTCAATGTCACCAAATAAAACCCTATTTTCTACATTACTGTAAATATTTTTAACTAGACACTGCACCTTCCCTTGTATACCACTTAGCCCATAATTTGACAAAGAGCCTGTCATACCACACTATTGAATGCCTTCGATAAATCCAAAAAGGCTCAGTAGAGGGATGCTTTAGAAGAACAGTACAAAGCACACAAACCTCACAAAGCTTAACATTTATCTTAGATGCATCGATCCATAGGTAAGGTGCCATGTTTTCTCTAAGTACAAATGTACTTTATGATGTTCTAGGAAGTTTACGATATGTATTTCCAAAGTTCTTGAAATAAGTTTGTAAACATTTGACGACAAAGTGATACCTTTCTTAAGTATCAAGATCGTAAACAGAAACAGGTTTTATGTAGAAGTTGTATAATTCCCCTCTGCCATTCAGCTGGTATCAGTTCAGAATCAAATATAAAGGTAAACAGATCACATAAAGATTATACCGTTGTATCACCACCATATTTTAGGAAGTCGTTTGTAATATCATCAAAGCATTTTATAATTTAATCCAACATAATGCATTTGAAACGGAGGAAAAGTCACTGCTAGCAATTGATCTTAATATAATAAACTATTGTACAATATGTCAAGCTTTATATTGTCCCAAGAGACTTGTGAATAAATTAAACATAAACAATTAAAGATATGTCATCAATTCCTTAAATTAGAAAGAACTTAAATATATGACATAAGACAACCACTAAAAAGATTCCTGACATCGGACAAGCACATATTTTTCTTTGAGTGTCAGTTCATTAGTTGTATTTGATGGTTGTTATGTGTTCTAATATGGTTTGGACTATATTTACACTTGTGTCATAGTGGTTAAGTACATTTAATGTGCCTACATGTATCCAGCCACTTTTTGTTATCTTAACTGTTGAATCAGCATTTTATTCTGTGTTTAAACTTATACTTCTGATGAAACGCTGAGGCGTTGGATATGAATGTGTAATACATTTTAAATTTTAATAGTTAATTCATATTATATGAACATGATAAACCTAGACTTAAATTACTTTGAAATCTGCATAGATTTTGTTCTTTATTTTAACATGGTATTGCTTTTTTTCCACAGTATAATATATTAACCCCAATTTTATATAAGGTAGGTCAATTTATCTTCATTTAGTGCCTGCATTTCTTTAATGAAATCATTATAATTTCCATCTTCGCTAGCCAAGGGTTGGAGAGGAGGGGACTGGATCGTAACCCTTGGCTAGCAAAGATGAGTCATTTCCAACTAATCTTTTCATGCTTTTTATGTTACATTTTTACAATCACATGCATGTGATATGTCATGTGTTTGCTGATAATTAACATGATTAAAGTGATAATTTTTTATGTTAACAATTTTGTCAGATTTTTGCCTAATTTGGAAAAGGTTTTGCTTCATTATCATATGACATTTGCAACATTAAAGTAAAGACAACACAATTTTATTTGGATGTATATCTACTCATTATGGATATTTCTAAAAGAAGTTGTTGTTGGTGTAACGTTAATGCAAATGTTTTTTGGTACTTCTTAAACGTTCATAACAGTTTAAAGCAAGAGTTAAGGAAAAATGAATGTTTGATCTGTTTAAGTCTTAGTATTTTAGATTTATACTAATTGTTTTTAGATGAAATATGATATAGGTCAAAATTCAGGACCAAAATCATGACCTCTTGAACATACACCTTTCAAACAAGTCTAGCATTGGGTTTTCTTGGTTATTTTACAGGTTTATGGACAGATGTTGCCATAAGGTGTCAAATAAAGCAAAAATTCATTTGAAATCTAATTTGACAAATAATTTGGAATCGTTTAATCTGACAGGGAGATATCAATAATTAATCTAGAAACCTATGTGCTAATTATGTTTCAGATATATAATAGGAATAGCTCAGCATTGGTAAATATTAAACTTCCTGTATGTTCTCATGGTCTGTGATTGTGTTATTGAGAAGAGAGAAAAATATTGAAAGTTATATTTACAAACATAACAAATTAAAGGAAGGTCATACATGTATAAATCCTACCTTCTAGAGATCAAAGAATTCAATTGGTTGTTTGATGTCACATGCTGACCATGTATATTTAAAATACAGAGTATACAAGATTTAATGTTATAAGATCTGTAAAATTTTCAAAGTTAGTAATAGATAAATAGATACTCCTGTCTTTTCATAGTATCAGACTGTCAGAAGAATATAAATATTACACAGTTCATCAGTAACCTAATATGGGATATACATGGTCAGAACATTTTATATGGAGATTCAAGCTACGCACTTACCAAAAATAAACTTAAAAGACTGTGTATATACCATATTAGGTCACTGGTAGAGTGTGTAATATATTGGTTATAAGACATTGTGCAAAACTAGTTAGCTTCAAGCAAAAAATATAGATTACATGCCCCAGGGGAAATCTTTAAATTATTTCAGATCTTAATGTACAGTAACAATTCTTTCTCAAACTACAATTTTAAAGATAAAGAAATATTTGGTACCCTCATTTATATTAATTTTCAGTGTAATTAAAGATAAAAATTGCTGAGTTTCAGTCAATATACATGTAGTGGTAGATGCAAAAGGTTAGAAAGAATATTTTTGAAAGGTACAACCACAAAATTAAAAAGAAAAAACAGCAAATATAAATAACACAAATTAAGAAAAGCTAAAATGCAGAAATCGGCAGCCCCATACTTCCACCTATTTAAAGGTCTTTTTTGTTGAAAAAGGTAAAGATCCAGATGGCGTAAGGATGACTGGGTAAGAAGAGTTATGCAAATGTTTGGCCCTTTTGACCATTTCTATCTTTTGTGTTTTATCACAACACAACATGTATTTTGTCAGAAAATTTAGATACAAAAAAGGTTACTATGTTCATTTGTTACCTTTTATAGATTTTCCCTGGGTATTTTAACCCCAAAAACTTCATAATGTGAAACATTTTATTTTAATATTTGATGTTTAATCTAGTGATAACCTGAAAGGTGTGTTTTTACTGAATCTGTTTTATATTTCTTTCTGTTATTTTTAATTTTTTGTTTTGATTAAATATATTTCATGTATTTCATTAATGTTAATTTTGCCTATTATTGCCATTACTTGACAAAAAGAGATGACAAAGGTTGCATCTTCATTATAAAAATTAATAGATGTGGTATGATTGCCAATGATACAAGAACTAAGCAGAGTTCAAATGAAGGGGATATAAGTTATAAAAGGATATCGTAGGGCTTTCAACAATGAGAAAAACCCATACCATATAGTGGGCTATTAAAGGCCCTGACATGAAAAATGTGAAACAAGAAAATTTAGATAAAAACTAACGGCCTAATCTATAACAATTTTATTTGCGAAAAACGTATATGACAGACATGAACCAACGACAACCACTGAACTACAGGCTTCTGGCATGTTTGAGAGGGCTCATATTCAATTCAGGATGTCTTCAATAGTTGGATTGCTAATTCCCTGATTTGAATCTGTATCTCATTATTTTTTCCGGAATAGTAAAATGACTACTAGTATTAAGTGATCCACATGGACAACTGTTTATCAAATTCACTGTCTGTTTAGAAGTTCAAAGAAAAAAAAAGAAGAGAAAATCCCAGTTTTAATTGTAAAACAGCAGAAAATGCAAGATTCTACCAGTTTTGTATTTTGTATATAAAGCTACTTTGCTGTTCTCATATTCAAAGCTTTTCAGAAAAATTTATTTGCCATTACTTAAATTGCAGAACTTATGACATATCAATAATCACTGACTGTATATGTATTCAAACTTTTTTTGAGTTTAAATTGCAAATATTTGACATAATTGTGGTTCTTTGATCTTATTCCTTTAACATGTTTAATGTAAATTGTCTGACCTGTGAAAAATTCAATAAAATATCTGTTACACCCCCATAATGTTATCAATAATGTCGTGCATTTGAGACGACCTTTTAATCAGAGGTATGTGTTGGAAGATTGCCATGCACAGTATATTTGGAATTATTTTATTACTAGTATGGTTAACATTACTTTAGTACCTTTTTGAATAAATATTTCTACTAGTCCCTATTGGAATGATTTCCAAGTAGCCATATTTTTCTCGTCTGCAAAAGAGGCGGAAGATACCAAAGGAATATATATATTCAAACACATAAATGGAAGACATACTGACAACATTATGAAAAAACCAACAAAAAGACAAACAACAGCCACCAAAACACAACCTAGAAATCTAAAGATTGAGCAACACAAAACCCCACCAAAATCCTGAGTGATCTATGGTGCACCGGCTGGGTAAGCAGATCCTGCTCCACATGTGACACCCGTCTTGTTACCCATGTAAAAATGTATAACAAAACTACCGAACTCCAAGGTAAATTTAAAAAAGGGAAATCCACAAAAACTGACAAAATCAAACGTTATCAAACAAAGTAATGTAATTTAAAAAAAAAATCGTTGATGTAGACTATCAAATCCACTATCTTTAGACGTTCAAAGAAATAGAAGAGGAATTCCAGTCTTTGTTGTAAAGTAGCAGATAATGCACGATCCTACCAGTTTTGTGCTATTGCTCTAGTTACTTGAAAATTATCCTTGTATTTGGTTTATAAAACTACTTTACTGTTCTAATATTTAACGATTTTCAGAAAATTTTATTTACCATTACTTAAATTGCAGATCTCTTGGATATATCAGTAACTGTATATGTTTTCAAACTTTCTTTAAGTTTAAATTACAAATATTTAGAAATATTGTGGTTCTTTTGTCTTAGTCCTTTAATGTAATTGATCTGACCTGTGAATAATTCAACAAATATTTGTTACACCCTCATAATGTTATCTACAGTGTGTTGAGACGATCTTTAAATCAGAGGTATGTGTTGGAAGATTGCCTTTCAAAGTACATTTCGAAAAAAAATCTTTTGCTAGTAAGGTTAACATTACTTTAGTACCTTTTTGAATATATGTTTTTGCTAGTCCCTTTTGAAATGATTTCAAAGTAGCCATGTTTTGTCTCGTCTGGAAAAGAGAGGTGAAAGATACCAAAGGGATATTCAAACTCATAAATAAAAGGAAAACTGACTAGTACATTTGGAAAAAAAACGACAAACAAAAGTCAACAAAACACAACATAAAAAACTGAAGACCGAACAACACAAATATAAAACAAAGAAGATGTGGTATGATTGCCAATGAGACAACTCTTCACAAGAGACCAAATGACACAGAAATTAACAGCAACAAGTCACAGTACGGCCTTCAACAATGAGCAAAGCCCATACCACTATAAAAGCTATAAAAGGCCCCAAAATCACAAATGTAAAAAAAAATTCAAACGAGAAAACTAACGGCCTAATTAATGTACAAAAAATGAACAAAAAACAAATATGTAACACAGCAAAAAACGACAACCACTGAATAACAGGCTTCTGACTTGGGACAGGCACATACTTACAGAATGTGGCGGGGTTAAACATGTAAGCGGGATCCCAACCCTCCCTTAACCTGGGACAGTGGTGTAACAGCACAACATAAGAATGAATTTTAAAAATAAGTTGTAAATGGTTTAACTCATCAGATGGATACAAATAGAAATACATATAACAAAAACATAGAGTGAATGTGGCTGGGTACTGTTACCTCCCAACAACAAAAAGACACTAAGTACAAATCTGAGAGTACTCGCAGTTACTGACAGCTAGTTCAAAGACAATAACAACTAATAAAAAATCATGCTACTCTGAAATTGTTGGGAAACACCTTTTTTCTATAAATACTACTGTTCACTACCTGGCCAATTGAAACCTTGTACGGTCTAATTGAGACTAGATTAGGAATTTAGATATTTCAACCTATAGAAAATGCTTTTGGAATTTTGTAACCTTTTGTACGATAAAAGATAAAAAAAACCAAATATATCTATATGTAAATTGAGTTGATTTTCGATGCTTTGTATTTTCTCAGGAGAGGTAAATATATAGAAACTTGAAATGGCCTTTATTTTTTAGGGTTAGGTTAGAGGATATACATAGCATCGAAAATCAACTCAATTTACATATAGATATATTTGGTTTTTTTTTATCTTTTTTATCGTTATAAATGTGGACTTAATATAATATTTAAGTTATTAATTCAACAAATAATAAGATTAAGAGACCAAATACCTACATCGAACAGAAAAGGAGAGTGAGTCTATAACACCACAACTCCGCAAACCACCACTGCCACTGGACACCTCAAATACATTTTATAGCGCCGATGTTCGCTTTGGATATATTGAACTGATCGACAAAATGTGTTAATATCTCTTTTGTTTTAAAATATTTTTTATGAAATTACGAAATCAGCGAGATTAATATATATTTTATATGAAAATATAAACTTTATAGTACAAATAAATGTTTTTCTACAAAAAAAGTTGACCGGACGGATTTCACAGTCGCCGATGTATATTGAGCTGATCGACAAAAAGTGTTAATATCTCTTTTGTTTTACAATATTTTTTCATGAAATTACGAAATCAGCGAGATTAATAAATTTATTATATGAAAATATAAACTTTATAGTAAAAATATTTTTTTCTACAAAAAAAGTTGACCGGACGGATTTCACAGTCGCCGATGTACGCTTTAAATATATTGAACTGATCTACAAAATATGTTCATATGTCTTCTGTTTTACGATATTTTTTTCATGAAATTAAGAAATCTGCGAGATTAGTAAATATTAAACTTTATAGTAAAAAAAAATGCTTTTATACAAAAAAAGTTGACCGGACGGATTTTATAGGCGAAAATTATGCCACGAATAATATTGACCTGATCGACAGAAATTGTAAATATTTCTAATATCTAACAATATGTTTACCGTGAAATTAATAAATCTTTAAGATAAATAATTGTATTTTATAAAAATATAAAATCAATTGTAAAAATATTATTTTTTTCAACGAAAAATGTTGACTTGATGGTGATCATCGGCTCACATTTCAATCTTGAATTTATATTATTATAAAAATTGGGATATGTATATTTATTCAAATGATAAAAACTGCGGCAACAAATTATTAGCCGACCCCTTCAATCTGCCAGAATTATTCTGCCCCCTGCACACCATCGGGGAGGTTGAAATAGGAATTTGGAGCAGGATATATCTTTTATTTCAAAACATAATTACAAAGAAACCTAGTGTGGTTCATATAGGGAACAAACTTTTTTCTTATTTTTACTTTGTTCTCCTAATTGCATCAATCAATTTTAAAATACAAAATTCTTTATTGATTTGATTCTAATTGCCACCTGATTATATAAGGTAATTCTCTTAAATGTATTTGATGTCTCAGGTGTGAAAACTTAAATGACATGTTAATTGGCTTGATTGGTGATCACGACAAGTGTCAAAATTATATAATCTAAGTGTCGGTTAGTGTATGGAAAGGTATATACTATGAAATTTAGAGCGAGGGGCTTGCCCCGAGCTCTTAATTTCATAGTATATACCTTTCCATACACTATCCAATTTAGCACATATTTACAACTTGAGTAATCCTGTAATTAGTCTATTGATATATTTTGGCTGACTAGGTGTAGCTCATGTACGTAGTTTTGTCAATCTACTCACTAGTATCATTGTAAAATATTGAATCCAGAATGAAAAGATGGTAGCTGCTGGTGTAAGTATGTTTATTGACATAAAGCAGTGTTTTACTATTCATGTACTTCTTCACATGGTAAGATGACAAAATAAATTGACCAAAAGCAGGCAATAATTAAATTGCAGTGGAAGCTTTACATTCTTGTAAACATTTTTTCAATTTCACCTAAAAACTAAAACTATAATAAATTTTACACATATAGATAGTTTGCACTGGCGGATCCAAAAAGGGGGAGGGGGAGTTCAGGAGGGGGATGGAAAACGCCCTTTTTGTGATGATCAATGCTTTTGAATGAGGACATACAGTTGGACCCCCCCCCCCCTTTATCTTGGGTTGGAACCCCTTTTAAAAATGACTGGATCTGCCCTGGTATGTACCCATAGGTAGTCTAGTGGATAGTTTACATGCATGAAATATTTGTCACTGGACATTAAGCAACCAATTATCAATCAATTCATGACGAAATATATCAAATTGCTGTAATTTTCCTTCACAGGGTTTCATGGTTCACTCTTTTTTGTGTACAAAGTAATTGCATGGAAGATAAATGATTACAATTTTCAGGTGGCGTTGTACTCTAATCAAGGTATAAAAAAAACCATATGTGTTACTCTTTATTTAAATTAAAGAAACTTTTAATCGTCAAAAACATTTTTAGATCCAAAGATTAAATAGTAGGATGTTTAAAAATCAATTTGAAAACTAATTACAAACTATTTAGTTTAATTTGGAACACAGCATTTATTTCAAAATCGCCAGTAGCAATTCTTGTTTTAATATCTTGATTACGATACAATGAAATCTTACCCTTGTGGTCATTCATGCGTAGTTACTTAGTACATGGAAAAAGTATGTACTATGAAAATTAGAAGGCAAATATAAGCAATTTGATTGGACGAGAAGTTGTAAGTATGTGCTAATTAAATTTTTGGTATTTTTAATGTGTCGGTGAACTCGCTCAGGTCAACATTTTGGGCTTAAAAATATAATTTTTTACGGATTAGTTTGTATTTTCATATAAAATATAAGTTTATCTGAAAGGTTTCTCAATTTAAGGAAAATATATTGAAAAATAAAGATGTTATTAACACTTTCAGTCGATTTTTTTTTTAGGTTTATATTTTCAAATGATATATGTAGGTATTCTCTTTATATACAGTGCTGGTACTCCCCCCACCATTCGACATCTAACCACATTTTCATGTTTAGAATGAGTGCTCTCTTTATGTACAGTTCTGTTACTACCCCCACCATTCGACATTTGTTGTGCACATATTTTCAATATAGAAAAGTAACTAGTGTTCATTTGCCTCGATCTGTATGTCCTGCACAACCAAATCAGAGATCTATATTTTAAAAATATAGATTGAGTCCTCATCAGTATGACTGGCCAATAGCTGTTTCAATAAATTCTAAGTGTTTAGAGCGTGCAGTTTTAAGTTTATTGCATTTTAGTACGAAGTGGCATCTTTTCTCTTCGTGTCTTTTGGAAAGCATGCACATTTCTGATATTGCATTTTAGTATGAAGTGGCATCTTTTCTCTTCGTGTCTTTAGCAAAGCACACAAATTTCAGATATTGCATTTTGGTTGAATCTTTGTCTGTGTGATTGAGGAGTATAAGTACTTGTGAATAAACGACCATAGTTGTAATTATTTAGGTGTAACCTTTTCAGCTTCAGGTACATATTCCTATGCTAAACAAAAACTCTATAACAAGGGCTTAAAGCAAACTTTAAATTATGCAAAGCTTTTACATCCTCTAAACCAAAAGTCTCATCCCTAAATAAAACTTATGTATTTATTCCCTCATACAGTAAAACCAGTATATTATACGGTTCAGAAATTTGGGGAAGTTTTCCGGTTAATAAATTAAAAAATGAACCAATAAAAGTTGTCAAAAGAAATAGACAAACTAGTCACGGAGAAGATACACATGTAAGATCTGTAAATTTGCTTTGAGTGTAAAATCAAATACTTCTTATATTGGATTTCGGGGTGAACTTGGGAGGCAACCAATGCTTTATTTTGTTATTCTACAGTTAGTTAAATATTGGATAAGACCACAGGTAATACATCTTAAAAATAATGTCAAAACAGTAGTGTATCACCAGCAGGACATCATACACCATGTTTCTAGATAATAAAGAATCATGGATTGGACTTGTTCATAAAAATTTTAAATCTTGAAAATTTCTTTAAAAACTTTAATAATTACAAAAACATTTCTCTTATAAATAAATTTAGCATAGACTAAAAATAAAATCTAAAGAGATATGGTCAAATCAAATCAATAATGATAATATAACAATTTTTCAAGTTAATGCCGAACAGGGCAACAAACTGAGAACATACAGAAAATTAAAAACTTTCTTCAAACTTGAACCTTATCACAATCTTAGCACTCAGGAACAAGGGAGTACACTATCAAAGTTGAGGTTAAGTTCCCATATGCATTGAAAAAGGTAGATACATTAATTTAAATGTTGAAGATCGATATGTAATCTTTGTGATCAGGCTGTTGAAGATGATGTTCATTTCCTTATGAACTGTACCTTTTTTCAACAGAACAGAGAACCATATAGTTTATTGAAATAATGCACTGTTATACCCCAATGTGGTTGATGGCATACTTGAAAATTAACAAAATAACACATTACATAATATATCATAAAAATAATAAAAATAATAAAATACAAGACATGAATTTATATATGTACATCCACTCTCCTCAGTGACCATGACTTTTTAATAGATCAGTGGAGCAGCATATACGACCATATACCGTATAACTGAAGGACATGAAAAACATAAAACCAATTTATTCAAGTTATCCATATCATCATATATAAACTCCATTAATAAGAGCTGTGATGATTTCAACATACTCAGTTCAGAAAATAAATTCAGTATATGGATCATGAGTAATGAGGATAAACCGATTGTCTATAGTATTATTTAAAATGGTAGCTTCATTGTTTGAGAACCGTTCGCATTTAAGCAAGTTAAACTATGATCCAACAATGCTTGAAAAAAAATATACAGCTGGAGATCCTCAGATCAATAAAATTTTATTTTCTTATTTCCTTAATTTTTTTTTTGGAAGGAGGGGGGGGGGGGGGGGGGTGTCAATAGAACTTTGTACATTGTAATTATATAACTTCGGCTTCTTGTGCTTGTGTATCTATATCTACAGTGAAGTCCTATCGACACACAATTTGTGCCTTATACATCCCTTGGGTCACTTTTTCTGTTCTTCTTATCAGCTTCCTGTTATTAGGAATAGATACCCCTTAACGGGTAAAATTTAATTGTTAAATTCATAAATGGGTAACGTAAAAATATATTACATGTAGGTAAAATCCAGTGGTGGTGCACTATACATTAAGAGTGAATATACAATGATATACACATAAAAAGGATAAAAAAGACCTTCAGAAGGTCAAATAACCCATATATTTAGTCATTCATTTTACCTGTAAATAAAATTTTATACATAAATGGTTATGGAACAGCTGTAATATTTGTATACACAATCTATTAATTAAAGTTCATAAATAGCCTGAATTTTCCTTTCCAATGTCTATGTTCCGGACCATATGAGTATTTAGACCGTACGCGTATGGTCATGACCATATGGGTATACTTATATAGTCCGACCATAAACGTATGGTCGGACCATATGTGTATGTACCGGACCATATGAGTATATGTGTATATACTAGTTTGGTTATTAACGGGCCGGACCATATGAGTATTTAGACCATGCATAAAGGTATTTTTCGAATAAATTCAAACTTCCTCAACAGACACAGCTCGTTCTCTGAACCAAAATCGGCACAAGATAACTGAAATCCTTTACATTTGTTACATATTGTCTGAATCTTGGTAAATTTGATGTCTTGCCTTTGCTATCTAGAGTCAATTCTAAGCACCTTTATCCTATAGACAGTTTCGTCCGTACGTGTAATCACTGGTGTTTCGGGCATGGACATCTTATTTTTTCTTTCTCCCCGGCGTTTAGATTAGATTTTCTTTAATTTCTTCTAATTTCCACTTAACTGATGTGTTCATATTATTCTTATTCATTCGATCTTACAGTGGTTTCTACATAAGAATAGAGGGGCAGCACGTATAAACTACTGTAATTGTAAATCGTATAAAGAGGAGTATGAACAAATTTAATAACTAAAAATAATTTGAAATGTTTAAGACATTTTAATTTACAAAAAACAAATATAAACACCAGAATGAAGAAAAAAAGAGGGTTCAATGCTCCAATTGCTATTGTGTAAATCAGTTGACTTCTTGCTTCACAGTTCATTTAGTTATTTTTTGAGTCGACGTATTGTGTTTCGTAAAGACAACTTAATTAATAATGACCATGCAAAAATTCTTCTATAGTAACTATAATTTTAACTTGGATATGTTCCTGGTAAAATTCATGTTATTTCATTAATCACGTTACAATGATTATCAAATTAAAATCTTAAGTCAAAATTTCATTTTTAGAAACTCTTAATTTATGACATTCTGTTCAACGTTCATCGTATTAATTACCCGGACCATATGAGTATATACGCAAATGGGCATGGCCATACGCTTGATTCAAGTAATTAGTGTCACGTGTCACACATTTAGCTCTTTTAGTAGAAATAATCTATGATAATGTAATTTAAAAAAGCAGATGTGTCTTGTGAGAGTTTCTAGTTCAAGAATAGACTCTTTTTCAATCCTAGTTGTTCACTATTGCAACTAAAGATTATTAAAAATATACATTTTGCTTGTCCCAATCGTAACTACTCGGACATTCTCGGCAATTCTCAAGTTACGATTGCGAAAATTCCCAATGCTAAAAATAACGCCTTGGAAATAACCTCTTTTTCCCTCGTCACATGCCGAGTAAGCAGGTAGTAATTTATGCTGTATATGAAAATGAAACAAATATATCTATATGTAAATTGAGTTATGTATTTTCTCAGGAGAATTAAATATATAGAAACTTGAAATGGCTTTCAATTTTTAGTGTTAGGTTTGAGGATATACATAGCATCGAAAATCAACTCAATTTACATATAGATTATATATATATTTTTTTTTTATCTTTTATCGTTATAAATGTGACCTAAATATAATATTTAAGTTATTAATTTAACAAATAATAAGATTTAGAGACCAAATATCTACATCGAACAGAAAAGGAGAGTGAGTCTATAACACCACAACTCCGCAAACCACCACTGCCACTGGACACCTCAAATATATTTTTATAGCGCCGATGTTCGCTTTGGATATATTGAACTGATCGACAAAAAGCTTTAATATGTCTTGTTTTAAAATATTTTTTCATGAAATTACGAAATCAGCGAGATTTGTGTATTTTTTATATGAAAATATAAACTTTATAGTACAAATAAATGTTTTTTTTACAAAAAAAGTTGACCGGACGGATTTCACAGTTCCCGATGTATATTGAACTGATCCACAAAAAGTGTTAATATCTCTTTTGTTTTACAATATTTTTTCATGAAATTACGAAATCAGCGAGATTAATAAATTTATTATATGAAAATGTAAACTTTATAGTAAAAATATTTTTTTTCTACAAAAAAAAGTTGACCGGACGGATTTCACAGTTGCCGAAGTACGCTTTATTTATATTGAACTGATCGACAAAATGTGTTAATATGTCTTTTGTTTTACAAAAAAATTTTCATGAAATTAAGAAATCTGCGAGATAAGTAAATATTTTATATGGAAATATAAACTTTATAGTAAAACAAAATGTTTTTATACAAGTTGACCGGACTGATTTTACAGGCGAAAATTATGCCACGAATAATATTGACCTGATCGACAGGAATTATTAATATTTCTCATATCTAACAATATTTTTTCCGTGAAATTAATAAATCTTTAAGATAAATAATTGTATTTTATAAAAATATAAAATCAATTGTAAAAAAACTATTTTTTTCAACGAAAAATGTTGACTAGATGGTGATCATCGGCTCACATTTCAATCTTGAATTTATATTATTATAAAAATTGGGAAATGTATATTTGTTCAAATGATAAAAACTGCGGCAACACATTATTAGCCGACCCCTTCCATCTGCCAGAATTATTCTGTCCCCTGCTCACCATCGGGGAGGTGGAAGTAGGAATTTGGAGCAGGATATATCTTTTATTTCAAAACATAATTACAAAAAAACCTAGTGTGGTTCATATAGGAAACAAACTTTTTTCTTTTTTTTATTTTGTTCTAATTGCATCAATAAATTTTGAAATACAAAATTCTTTATTGATTGGATTCTAATTGCCACCTGATTATATAAAGTAAGTCAATTTTAATGTATTTGATGTCTCAGGTGTGAAAACTTAAATGACATGTTAATTGGCTTGATTGGTGATCACGACAAGAGTCAAAATTAGATAATCTAATTAAATTTTTGGTATTTTTAATGTGTCGGTGAACTCGCTCAGGTCAACATTTTGGGCTCAAAAATATATTTTTTACGGATTTGTCTGTATTTTCATATAAAATATAAGTTTATCTGAAAGATTTCTTAATTTAAGGAAAATATATTGAAAAATAAAGATGTTATTAACACTTTCAGTCGATCATTTTTTTTGTAGAAAAATATATTTTTTTTACTATAAAGTTTATATTTTCATATAATATATTTATTAATCTCGAAAATTTCTTAATTTCATGTACAAATAATGTAAAACAAAAGAGATATTAACACTTTTTGTCGATCAGTTCAATATATTCAAAGCGTACATCGGCGCCTGTGAAATCCGTCCGGTCATTTTTTTTTGCTCAAAAATATTTTTTTGAATTTTTTTTTTAGATTTTCATTTAATATAGTTTTGTATCTCAAAGTTCTCCAAATATGAAAACAATTTACCAAATAACAAAAAGGTATGATCATTTATATCTCATCCGGTCATTGTCCTGTCACTTTCCGGTCAATCGTCCTGTCATTAGTGTAACCCATGTAATCCGGAAAAATAGTGATGAATCCGGAGACGTTTTTCTTTATATTGATTATATTGATTATCAACTTTAACATAAAAATGATGCACATAAAAATCTAAAAATTGATTTAATTATACGTAATTAGTTCCCTACCGACGAAGTCGAAGGGGACTTTAGGTTTGCACTCTGTCCGTCTGTCTGTACGTCCGTCCGTCTGTCCATCCGTCAGTCCGGCAAATCAGTTTTCCACACTTTTTTCTTCGTTCTTGAAGATACTGATTTTATATTTGGTATTTAGTTTTATCATGACAAGTTATAAATCAAGTTCGAATTTTGTTCCGGTCTGATGATTTAGTCCAGAGTTATCATGGTCCATATCTAATGTTAGAGTACTACATTTTGTATGTAAACCATATTTCTGTACAAAGGGAGATAACTCATTTTTTAAAAGACATTCTTTGGTAAATTGTTTGAAGAATTTTTTACAGGATTGTTTGTTATTTTGTATAAACTAATTTTCTGAATGCTCTATATATATATAAAAAATTATGAAGTGAAATCCTTTAATTAGATAATAATCTATTTTTATTAAGGGATATATTTCATTACATTACATTGTGTATAGATAAGAGTTGTTGACATTTTATAGATAAGTTACAAATCTATATTACTTTGTGACAAATGATAGAAAAAATATTTGGAACTATAAATTATATTTGAATATAATTTGGAAATATGACTTAAATCAGCAAAGACCCATCGAAACAACATCTGATAAAAAAATTTAACAATACTTTTAGATATTTGGATGATATATTGGCTCTTAATAATGACGACTTCAGTATGTATACTAAAGAAATTTTTTCCTGTTGAACTTACTTTAAATAAAGCCAATACTAACAATGACCACTGTCCTTTCCTCGATCTTGATATCTATATCATTAACGGGAAGCTTAATACAAAAATTTATGATAAAAGAGATGATTTTTCATTTCCTATCGTTAATTATCCATTTTTAGATGGTGACGTTCCCTTGTCACCATCTTATGGTGTTTATATATCTCAACTTGTACGATTCACTCGTGTATGTAACAACGTATTAGATTTTAGCGAGATAAATTTATGTATTACTGAAAAATTATTACACCAGGGTTTTCGATATCATAAACTAGTCAAAACATTTACTAAATTTTATCATCGGTATAAGGACATCATTCGTAAATATAACTCAACATGCAGACATCTTATACGTTCGGGTATTTCACATCCAATCTTTTATGGTAATATTCTTTACAAAGCACAAAAATGTCAGTATACACCTCAAAAGCTAACAAAACCTTTAAACAGACTTATTAAGAAGGGATATAGTTACGATACTGTTGTCAGATCATTAAAGATTGCATATTTTGGCTTTAATATTGATTCACTTATAGGGTATTTGCATCGGAATTAAACACATTTATTTTAAAACCAGTTGTTGGCATGACACGGGTTATGTTCTTCTCATATATTTTATGACGGTATAATACTAAACCCCTAACAGGAGGGATTATGCCTGATATTCATATGATGAAGACATAATCTTTCAATCAGTTTAATTGAAGTCTGGAGCTGGCATGTCAGTAACTGCTAGTAGTCTGTTGTTATTAATGTATTATTGTCGTTTTGTTTATTTTCTTTTGTTTCCCATTCTGACATCGGATACGGACTTCTCTTATACTGAGTTTTACTGTGCGTACTGTTATGCGTTTGTTTTTTCTACATTGGCTAGAGGTATAGGGGGAGAGTTTTTGCGCATGGGGGAGGGTTGAGATCTCATAAACATGTTTAACCCCGCCGCATTTTTGCGCCTGTCCCAAGTCAGGAGCCTCTAGCCTTTGTTAGTCTTGTATTATTTTTAATTTTAGTTTCTTGTGTACAATTTGGAGTTTAGTATGGCGTTCATTATCACTGAACTAGTGCATTGAAGACCAATTGGTGGCCTTCGGCTGTTGTCTGCTCTATGGTCGGGTTGTTGTCTCTTTGACACATTCCCCATTTCCATTCTCAATTCTATACATTGTATTACATCATATCTAATTTTAGAGAAATATTAGTCATATCTAATGTTAGAGTGTTTTCCACACCTTTTTTCATCATGCTTGAAGATATTGATTGATAATTGGTATATAGTTTTATCGTGACAAGTTACAGATCAAGTTCAAATTTTTGTTTCGGTCTGATAATTTTGTGTAGAGTTATGGTCCTTGGACTTGAAAAATTCACTCATATTATCAGTTTTGCACACTGTTTTTAGTCATGCTTGAAGATATTGACTTGATATTTTCTTTTTGTTTACACCATGACAAGGTATAGAACAAGTTAGCATTTTGTTCCAGTATAATGAATTTTTACCCGGAAGGGGACTATGTATTGCCATGCAATACTCTCAGAATGCTTGTTTAATTTATTTTATCGTTTTATTGCATCACTGTTTTTCTTATTGGTTGTGGTTTTTTGGGTGTTCGGTGGTGTGTAGTGGTGTTCGGTGGTGAAAAGACCCACCCTTATTTAATAGATGCACAGGAATCGGAAGTTCTATCAATAAAATTTTGTAAATAATAAAGTTGACTATCAGTAGAGCTTCTCTGTACTTATACATCCCTCGGATTTCAAATGTTTGGCTTTGAGCGTTCCTGATGAAGGTAAATCCAGAAAAGCGCTTCGGACGCATGAAATTATTAAACGTGTTGTTTTCAATTTTTTACATCACTGGGTCGATACCACTGCTGGTGGACTATCAGTCCCCGAGGGTATCATCAGCTCAGTAGTCAGTACTTCTGTACTGACATGATTTATAACAAACTTTTCTAAAATTGTCCGTTTATAAATTTTGAAATTATAAAGAAACTAAGGTTTCAACTCCCTCAGGCAAAGTTGACCTCAGATGGATTTGGCTATTTGTTTTAGGTATTTTTGTCATATCGCTCTTCAACCGTTTCGGTACTTATACATCCCTCGGATTTCAAATGTTTGGCTTTGAGCGTTCCTGATGAAGGTAAATCCAGAAAAGCGCTTCGGACGCATGAAATTATTAAACGTGTTGTTTTCAATTTTTTACATCACTGGGTCGATACCACTGCTGGTGGACTATCAGTCCCCGAGGGTATCATCAGCTCAGTAGTCAGTACTTCTGTACTGACATGATTTATAACAAACTTTTCTAAAATTGTCCGTTTATAAATTTTGAAATTATAAAGAAACTAAGGTTTCAACTCCCTCATGCAAAGTTGACCTCAGCTGGATTTGGCTATTTGTTTTAGGTATTTTTGTCATATCGCTCTTCAACCGTTTCGGTACTTATACATCCCTCGGATTTCAAATGTTTGGCTTTGAGCGTTCCTGATGAAGGTAAATCCAGAAAAGCGCTTCGGACGCATGAAATTATTAAACGTGTTGTTTTCAATTTTTTTCTCGTAGAGAAAACCCCTTTATTCTACATGTAAATTAATTCAACAATAAAATATTGCATATAAACACATTGTATAGTTTATTTAGAAGGCAACTTCTGCACATCCAGTAAGTTCTTTTGGTTGCATGTTTATATAGACACATTTTTGGTGGTCACCGTGGAACCACTCAAAGCAGCTATCCCAAACGACGACCACAACAATTTGCACGTCAGTTTTGCACATCAAACAATTCCACTCTGCATTGTCTCTTTTGGACATAACAACATCTTTCAGTGATTGACATTTTTGATGGGGCAGAAGGACCTATTTTTGAGACATCAGGATAGGGCTTTTATTTTCTGCGGGAAAGCAGGATTTCAGAGGTCTCAAAATCTTTCTTTCGATGGTGGGCCTTGAACCAAATCTGATGGTCCCACTATTATTTCTATTGCAAAATGCTAAAATTGTATTGGTCCTTAAACTCCTTTGCAAAATTTGGTGGTCAAAAACTTCGAACCACCACTTTTCAAGAACTCTGGGATTTACACTTACAAGGACTATTGAATTAATGAGTAATTTTTTTTTTGATCCTGGAAAAACTGCTTTATTTTCTCGGGGACTCAGCGTTTATTTTTCTTGGAATTTTGGATGACGTCCCTCTACCACGATAATCTGATAAAACATACTTTTAAAGTATCTGTCCTCCTCAGAAAACATAATGTAGACATCATTCTGTGCACACAAGTTTAAATTGGCATTTAGTTTGTGTTATGCTTGGTATGCACCCAAATGTATTACTCTTAGCATCAAACTTTCATGGAACTTCTTTGAAATTAATAACCAAGATCTCATGCAAATACCTTTGTACTTAAAGATAAGATCAGGACTTGTTATAACATCAGTGTAAGCACTATCATCTCTCTCTTTTTATTGATATCCTCTACATATATATGTTAGTGTTTAGTAGGAACTTAATTTATGCCTATTTAAAGAAGAGAAAAATTAGAAAAATATTTAACGGATAAATAGTATTAACATGATGAAATTCTCAAATCTTTTCTTTTTAGTTAGTTGAAAAGATTGTAATCCATCCAGAATGTTGTCAATGATGAACAGATTGAATATACATGATCACCATGGTGGATATGACGAGGTACCGCAGCATCCCTTAGACAGATTAGAACCTCTGAGAAATGATAAAATCTTAAGAAAAAACACTTTTAATAGCTGGCCTAAAGATACTATAATTAGTCATAATATTTTATGCGAAGATGGATTTTATTACATAGGAATAAGTGACAAAGTTCAGTGTGCATATTGTGGGGGAGTGCTAAGTGGGTGGCAGAAAGGTGATGACGTTCATGAAGAACACAAAAGACATTTTGGGAAGTGTCCACAGGTGAGGGGTGATACGGTGAGTTATGATGAAAATGACCTCGAAATTGATTGTGCACCAGATTTTAGTGAGTATACAGACCAACCAGATCAAGCACAACAAGGTTCACCCGTACATCAACCTGAACCACATAATTTTGGATTTCAGAATGAACAAAAAGATGACCTTGTAGAAAAAGCTAAACCGGTACCTGTGGCAAAGGTTCATAATTCAAAATATGCCTTGTACAGCACAAGATTGGAAAGTTATGAAAATTGGCCAAGTGATCATCATTTAAAACCCAATGATTTAGCATCTGCAGGGCTATATTACAAAGGTTCGTTTGCTATAAAGATAAAAAGATTATCATAATCTCCCCCAGGTTGAAATACATGAATCATCCTGTCTGTTAAATGCACAGTTTTGGCTTTCTGAATACAAAACATAATGTTGCATGATCTCAATTGTTTAAGCTACTTGGTTGGATTACTACTTAAAGAGAGATGAAAGATACCAAAGGGACATTCAAACTCATAAGTCGAAAATAAACTGACAACGCCATGGCTAAAAAAGAAAAAGAACAAAAGACAAATAACAGTATACAAAACACAGCATAGAAAACTAAAGACTGAGCAACAGGAACCCCACTAGGATCCGGGGGTGGTTCTATAACGGTTAACCAACTTGTGATGCTGTTCGTAAAATTTTCGAAGTAATGATTTCAACTTCACCACTTGAAACTCTTTTGTTTAATAGCTTCCTTGTGAGCAGCAACCCTCTATCAAGGAAATCATGATAGGAAACACAAGCCCTTGAATTAAGAATATAATTGAATACCAAGGTATAGGTACTTATGTATAAAGGTATTAGCAACTAGGTTAATTAGATACATGGGATAATTTATCTGATATAATTAAATCATCTCGTCAAAATTAGTATTCTCTCAGATCATAAACTAATAGAAATAATTTTGTGCCTCAACCAAAATCTAACATATCCATTATGAAGAAATTATTTCATTATTCACACATAATTTTATAGAATCATCTACCCTCAACTTTACATTCTATTTCAACTTAATGAACTATGGACTTATTCATATCTATTTGTTTTTTAATCAAAATGCAAAACTATACATTTTATCGAAGAAAAATAAAAGTTTATCAAATATTTCCATCATCATGATCATTTTCAAAAACATTTGTTCCAAATTGAGCATTTCTTTTTGTATTTTGTTGTTACTATAAAAATGGTCCATAGATTCATTAATCAGTATGTACATGTACTTCATCTTGAAATTAAGATTAATGCAAAATTTATTGTTCTTAATATGTTTTTAGGTTCAGAGGATAAGTGCCAATGTTTCATGTGCGGAGGCATACTAGCAGAATGGGAAATGGAAGATATACCAAAAGACGAGCACAAGAAATGGTTTCCAAAGTGTTATAACAGCATGGACAATGAGTGAAGAAATCTGTTACAACTAAGTCCCATTTATTTACAAGATTACTGTTGGATTCATTATTATTCATGGGATAACAATTTTCATGGATTTCTTAGGTTTATGAAAACCACCAATTTTGATGGTCAACGAAGTATAAATTTTCTATAGTCATATGCAGACTTTGGCAAATTCGTGAATTCAAATATTCATGAAAATACATTTTTTTGCTCAATCCAAGAAAATTGTTACCCATGAAAAATATGAATCCACAGTAGTACAATTGTATAACATTTAGAGCTCTTTTCCTAATAGTTGTAGTTTAAAGGTATGGTTGACTTGCTTGCTTTGTTTGTATAAATGTTTGCTCAAGCATTGTAATTAAGATTGACATCTGCAATCAATAGATAGGCGGGGCTTCAGCTTGTATACTTTATCAGTGGCGGATCCAAGGGGGGGGGGGGGGGGGGGGGTTCTGGGGGTTGGAACCCCCCTTTTTTGACGATCAATGCATTTGAATGGGGACATATAGTTGGAACACCCCAGTTATCCTAGGTTAGGAACCCCCTCTTTTATAAATGGCTGGATCCGCCCCTGATTATACTTAACATCCAATAACATTTAAGTACAATGTATACAAGCTAAAGCCCCGCCTATCTATTGATTGCAGATGTCAATCTTAATTACAATGCTTGAGCAAACATTTATACAAACAAAGCAAGCAAGTCAACCAAACCTTTAAACTACAACTATTAGGAGATTAAAGCAAAGAAAAAAAAATTTTGATGTAAAGTAGCAAAAAAAAAAAAGGAAATATTCGTTCAATAGATTGACTCCTGAGCAGAAAATGCTCTCAATTTTCAGTATCCCCAGAATCAAATATGGGTCATATTAAATATAGACATAGTATGTCCTTGCAAGCAATTTTAAATGAGGATTTAAAACACAAGTCCTCGAAGTACAACTTCCTACAAGTATTTAAGTAGCAGTGATGATAAAACTCGTCTACTTTTAGCTGTAACGTCAATGCGTCGACTTTCTCTTGTGGCATTTCCATATTGACACTTAAATTTTTCAAGCTCAATACATGTATATTCTGTTTTTTTGTGCATCTCTCGGGAATAGTACCCAACATTTTTGGTTAATCGACAATTCATTTAAGATATGCTTGCACAGTCTGTCCTCTGGTAGGTTATCCTTTTAAAGTACCCAACTTTTTGACAGGTAATAAAAGCAGTCATTTGTTCCCATCCTAGATCGCAAAGTAGAGTGGGCCCAGGGTTATCCAGTTAGATAATCATATCAGTTTTAGCTGCATAGTATTGCCAACTATTGATAATTGACATATTACAAATAACAGCATCCAGACCACACATGTATATGTTATTGATAGCCTTATGACCAAGTTACATGGGGTGTCTTGAAAGTTTACAGTTAGAAACTCCATGCTCCCAGAGGACACGTAATAATTAGTTCAGAATGTTATTCCTTTTGACTTTCAAACAGATGTTTATATTGAAATTAGATTTCACTGATCTATTTATATAATAACTGACAAATGACTGAGGAAGTTATATTCATTTAACTCCACGATATTAAAGTCATCTAGAGACCAGGTACTTTATGGATTAAACGCTTTCTAACTACCAGAACGTTGGTTTTCTTATGATTGAATTTCAAATTCCATATAGACTTGTAGATCTTCTGGCAATTAAGCATTAAGAACATCATCTGCAAATTGGAGACACTCATTAAGTTGTAATGTAAGATCAAAACCAACACTACTCATTTAACATATCCAGCAAGTTCTTCATAAGCACTGAAAAAAGTGTAGGTAACAAAACATAACCCTGTTTAACACTGAATTTCTGTTCAAACCAGGTAGATTCAATGTCACCAAATAAACCCTATTTTCTACATTACTGTAAATATTCTTAATTAGACACTGCACCTTCTCTTGTATACCACTTAGCCCATAATTTGACAAAGAGTCTGTCATACCACACTATTGAATGCCTTCAAGAACAGTACATAGCCTGCAAAGCTTAACATTTATCTTAGATGCATCGATCCATAGGTAAGGTGCCATGTTTTCTCTAAGTACAAATGTACTTTATGATGTTCTAGGAAGTTTACGATATGTATTTCCAAAGTTCTTGAAATAAGTTTGTAAACATTTGACGACAAAGTGATACCTTTCTTAAGTATCAAGATCGTAAACAGAAACAGGTTTTATGTAGAAGATGTATAATTCCCCTCTGCCATTCAGCTGGTATCAGTTCAGAATCAAATATAAAGGTAAACAGATCACATAAAGATTATACCGTTGTATCACCACCTTATTTTAGGAAGTCGTTTGTAATATCATCAAAGCATTTTATAATTTAATCCAACATAATGCATTTGAAACGGAGGAAAAGTCACTGCTAGCAATTGTTCTTATTATAATAAACTATTGTACAATATGTCAAGCTTTATATTGCAAGAGACCTGTGAATAAATTAAACATCAACAATTAAAGATATGTCATCAATTCCTTAAATGAGAAAGAATTTAAAGATACATTTATGACATTTATAAGATAACCACTGGCAAGGTTCCTGACAGTTTTTTAGTTGTATTTGATGGTTGTAATGTGTTTGATTCTAATATGGTTTGGACTATATTTACATTTCTGTCGTAGTGGTTAAGTACATTTAATGTGCCTACATGTATTCATGTGTAATACATTTTAAATTTTAATTGTTATTCATATTATATAAACCTAGACTTAAATTACTTTGAAAACTGCATAGATTTTGTTCTGCCTGTAGCTTAAACATGGTATTGCTTTTCTTTCACATTATCATATATTAACCTCAATTTTATATAAGGTAGGTCGATTTATCTTCAATGCGTGCCAGTATTTCTTTAATGAAATCATTATAATTCTCACAGTCTTTTCCAACTAATCTTATCATGCTTATTATGTTAGATTTTACAAACACGTGCATGTGATATGTCATGTGTTTGCTGATAATTGAAGTGATAATTTTTTTATGTAAATAATTTTGTCACATTTTTGCCTAATTTTTAAATTATTTCAGATCTTAATGTACAGTAACAATTCTTTCTCAAACTACAATTTTAAAGATAAAGAAATATTTGGTACCCTCATTTATATTAATTTTCAGTGTAATTAAAAATAAAAATTGCTGAGTTTCAGTCAATATACATGTAGTGGTAGGTGCAAAAGGTTAGAAAGAATATTTGTGAAAGGTACAACCACAAAATTAAAAAGCAAAAACAGCAAATATAAATAACACAAATTAAGAAAAGCTAAAATACAGAAATCGGCAGCCCCATACTCCCACCTATTTAAAGGTCTTTGTTGTTGAAAAAGGTAAAGATCCAGATGGCATAAGGATGACTGGTTAAGAAGAGTTGTGCAAATGTTTGACCCTTTTGACCATTTCTATCTTTTGTGTTTTATCACAACACAACATGTATTTTGTCAGAAAATGAAGGTACAAAAAAGGTAACTATGTTCTTTTGTTACCTTTTATAGATTTTCCCTGGGTATTTTAACCCCAAAAACTTCATAATGTGAAACATTTTATTTAATATTTGATGTTTAATCTAGTGATAACCTGAAAGGTGTGTATTTACTGAATCTGTTTTATATTTCTTTCTGTCATTTTAACTTTTTGTTTTGATAAAATTTATTTCATGTATTTCATTAATGTTAATTTTGCTTATTATTGCCCTTTTTTGACAAAAAGAGATGACAAAGGTTGCATCTTCATTATAAAAATTAATAGATGTGGTATGATTTCCAATGAGACAAGTACCAATTACAGAGTTAAAATGAAGGGGATATAAGTTATTATAGGCTACCTGAGTGCTTTCAACAATGAGAAAAACCCATACCGTATAGTAGGCTATAAATGGCCCCGACATGAAAAATTTGAAACAAGAAAAACAAGAAAAAAACTAACGGCCTTATCTTTAACAATTTTATTTACGAAAAACATATATAACAGACATGAACTAACGACAACCACTGAACTACAGGCTCCTGACATGTTTGAGAGGGCTCATATTCAATCCAGGATGTCTTCAATAGTTGGATTGCTAAGTTCCTGATTTAAATCTGTATCTCATTATTTTTACCGGAATAGTAAATGACTACTAGTATTAAGTGATCCACATGGACAACTGTTTATCAAATTCACTGTCTGTTTAGAAGTTGAAAGAAAAAGAAGAAAAAATTCAAGTTTTAATTGTAAAGCAGCAGAAAATGCAAAGATTTTACCAGTTTTGCACTAATGCTCTAAATTATGTTTTTGTATATAAAACTGCTTTGCTGTTCTTCATATTCAAAGATTTTCAGAAGATTTTATTTACCATTACTTAAATTGCAGAACTTATGACATATCAGTAATCACTGTATATGTATTCAAACTTTCTTTGAGTTTAAATTACAAATATTTGACATAATTGTGGTTCTTTTATCTTATTCCTTTAATATAATTGATTTGACCTCTGAAAAATTCAATAAAATATCTGTTACACCCCTATAATGTTATCAATAATATCAGTGCATTTGAGACGACATTTGAATCTGAGGTATGTGTTGGAAGATTACCATGCACAGTATATTTGGATTTTTTAAAAATTTATTTAGAATGGTAAACATTACTTTTAATTAGTAAAATTGAGAATGGAAATGGGGAATGTGTCAAAGAGACAACAACCCGACCAAAGGGCAAAAACCAGCCAAAGGCCCCCAATGGGTCTTCACCACAGCGAGAAAATCCCGCAGCCGGAGGCCTTTTGAATAAATATTTCTACTAGTCCCTATTGGAATGATTTTCAGGTAGCCATTTTTGTCTCGTCTGCAAAAAAGAATCGGAAGATACCGAAGGAATATATATATTCAAGCACATAAATGGAAGGCATACTGACAACATTATGAAAAAAACCAACAAAAAGACAAACAAAACAAAACACAACCTAGAAAACTAAAGACTGAGCAACACAAAACCCCACCAAAATCCGGGGTGATCTATGTTGCTCCGGCTTGGTAAGCAGATCCTGATCCACATATGACACCCGTCTTGTTACCCATGTAAAAATGTATAACAACCGAACTCCAAGGTAAATTCAAAAAGGGGAAGTCCATAAAAACGGACAAAATCAAACGTTATCAAACAAAGTAATGTAATTTTAAAAAAAATCGTTGATGTCGACTATCAAATCAACTGTCTATAGACGTTCAAAGAAATAGAAGATAAATTCCAGTCTTTGTTGTAAAGTAGCAGGTAATGCACGATCCTACCAGTTTTGTGCTATTGCTCTAGTTACTTGAAAATTATCTTTGTATTTGGTTTATAAAACTACTTTGCTGTTCGAATTTTAACGATTTTCAGAAAGTTTTATTTACCATTACTTGAATTACAGATCTGTTAGATATACAATGTATCAGTAACTGTATATGTATTCAAACTTTCTTTAAGTTTAAATTACAAATATTTAGAATTATTGTGGTTCTTTTGTCTTAGTCCTTTAATGTAATTGATCTGACCTGTCAATAATTCAACAAATATTTGTTACACCGTCTTAATGTTATCTATAACGTCAGTGTGTTTGAGACGACCTTTAAATAAAGGCAACAGTAGTATACCGGTGTTTAAAAGTCATAAATCGACTGAGAGAAAACAAATCCGGGTTACAAACTAAAACCGAGTGAAACACATCAACTATAAGAGGAAAACAAAGGAACAACAGAAACACTGAAGTGCAACAAAAACAAACGCCAACATACATAGAAACGAATTATTTGACAACAACTGCCATAATCCCGACTTGGTACAAGGCATTTTAAGAAAAAATGGTGGGTTGTACATATTTAAATCAGAGGTATATGTTGGAAGATTGCCATGCAAAGTACATTTCGAAACAAAATAAATCTATTGCTATAGTAAGGTTAACATTACTTTAGTACCTTTTTGAATATATGTTTTTGCTAGTCCCTTTTGAAATGATTTCAAAGTAGCCATGTTTTGTCTCGTCTGGAAAAGAGAGGTGGAAGATACCAAAGGGTTATTCAAACTCATAAATAAAAGGAAAACTGACAACACATTTGGAAAATAACGACAGTCAACAAAACACAACATAAAAAACTGAAGACCGAACAACACAAACCCCATCAAAATCCGGAGTGATCTATGGTGCTGTGGCAGGACAAGCAGATTCTGCTCTACATGTGCCACCCGTATTGTTACCCATGTAAATTCAAACGCTTATCAAAACCACTGCCCAAAAAATTTCAAAGAAAGAGAAGAGAAATTCCAGTCTTTAAGAGAAATTCCAGTCTTTAAGAGAAATTCCAGTCTTTAAGAGAAATTCCAGTCTTTGTTGTAAAGTAGCAGATAATGCACGATCCTACCAGTTTTGTGATATTGCTCCAGTTAGGTAGCAACCATTTAACTTCAAAAAGGGTGGGGGGATTATAGTATTTTGTCCGAGTCAGATTTTTTTTTTTAGTTTTTCGACGCTATCAATCAAATTATTTTTTTCAGAATAAAACACTAGAAGGTATTGGGAAAATCTGGATTCAGAATATTTTTTTTTGTCATCTGTATTTTTTTGATCAAATTGGGGATCAGAATATTTTTGTAGAAAATCCATACCCCCCCCCCTTTTGAAGTTAAATGGTCGTTCCCTTACTTGACAATTATCTTTGTATTTGGTTTATAAAACTACTTTGCTGTTCTAATATTTAACGATTTTCAGAAAATTTTATTTACCATTACTTAAATAGCAGATCTGTTAGATATATCAGTAATCACTGTAAATGTATTCAAACTTTCTTTAAGTTTAAATTACAAATATTTAGAATTATTGTGGTTCTTTTGTCTTAGTCCTTAATGTAAATGATCTGACCTGTGAATAATTCAACAAATATTTGTTATACCTTCTTAATGTTATCTATAACGTCAGTGTGTTTGAGACGACCTTTAAATCAGAGGTATGTGTTGGAAGATTTCCATGCAAAGTACATTTCGAAAAAAAATCTATTGCTAGTATGGTAAACATTACTTAGTACCTTTTTGAATATATGTTTTGCTAGTCCCTTTTGAAATGATGTAGTCATGTTTTGTCTCGTCTGGAAAAGAGAGGTGGAAGATACCAAAGGGATATTCAAACTCATAAATAAAAGGAAAACTGACAACACATTTGGAAAAAAAAACGACAAACAAAAAGTCAACAAAACACAACATAAAAAAAACTGAAGACCGAACAACACAAACTCCATCAAAACCGGGAATGATCTCTGGTGCTGTGGCAGGACAAGCAGATTCTGCTCTACAATATTTTATTTGATATTGCTCTAGTAACTTGAAATTAGGTTTTGTATTTGGTATATAAAACAACTTTGCTGTTCTAATATTTAAAGATTTTCAGAAAATTTTATTTATATTTTTTTTATATAGTATAACTTTTTGACATCAGTAATCCCTATACAAGAATTTTGAATTTCCTTTTGTTTTAACATGGAAGTAATACATTTTGTTGTGGGGATGTATAAGTACCCTGCCACGTCCACTCTTGTGTTTTTACATGATGATATGATAGTACTTCCATGGTTTTAATTACAAACATTTGGAATTATTGTGGTTCTTTTTTCTTTGTAATTTAATGTAATTGATCTGACCTGAAAAAACCCAACAAACTATCTGTAACACCCATATAAGGTTTTCCAAAATGTCAGTGCAATACTAGTATATGCCAAAGAAAGCTAGATACAGGAATACATATCCGTTGGTGACCGAGTAAAATTACTTGTATAAAACTTGACATTCAGAAGGAAGAAGAGCAGGATAATCAATATATATTGTATACAAATACAAGTGATGGTCTAGTTATTGTTACAGAAGGCGAGATAGGGATGCTTATGATAAACAAATAAGGAGATGTGGTATGATTGTCAAGAGACAACTATACACCAAGTTCAAATGAAGTGGATGTAAGCAATTATAGGCAACCGTACGGCCTTCAACAATGAGAAAAAAACCATAACGTATAGTCGGCTATAAAGGCCCCGACATGAAAAAATACGAAACAATTCAAATGAGAAAACTAATGGCCTATTCTATAAGAAAACAATTTACGAAAAACAAATTTAACAGACATGAACCAACGACAACCACTGAACTACAGGCTCTTGACTTGAGTCAGGGACATATATAAATATTGTTGCGGGGTTAAACATGTTTGTGAGCGCTCAACCCTTCCCCCCTAACCCGGGCTGTGGTGTTGCAGCATGCACAACATAAGAACATACTGTAAAAATCAGTTAAAAATGGCTTAACCGATCAGATCGACACAAAGCAGAAAAACATATTACAATAGCACAGACCGGACGTGGCAAGGTATTTATACACCCCTAACAACAAAAGACACAAAAGTACAAATCTGAGAGTACTCGCAGTTACTGACAGCTAGTTCAAAGCCAATAACAACTAATAAAAGAAATCATGTATCTAAGACTAATATATTAATCAGTACACATCCAACATCCAATGGATTTAGTGTAAAGACGTCTTTAACAGTCAGAGAAAAACACGACCTTGTGCAATGCCAAAATATAGGTATCGACAGATTGTAGTACATGTACCTTGCACGAAAGTGCATATGTGTATAAAAATATTATTTAGTATGGTTTTAATTTACTGATAACAAAATTAAATATTTATACCAATAAAAACAATATTCAAAGATCTAATTACAGTGTTGAATAGGTAACCTTTTAGAATAAGTTTATTTAAAGGATTGATAAGTTTACCGTAGCCGGGTCGTATATAAATTTCCGGGCTGGGTAAACAACATCATCGTAAAATTTAGGATGTGCTATTCCGTCTGAAATAAGTTCTTTTACAGGTACAGCCAAACTTGCGAACCAAATCTTTGTATCTATAGAAGAATTTAGTAAAGGTTTTAAGTAATTCATGGTAACGAAATCCCAGACTTAATAATTTACCAGTAATACATAGATTACGCTTATTGAAATCCAAAACGTCGCTACAGACACGGGCATAGCGAAGGAGTTGGGATATATAAACACCGTAAGACGGTGCCAAAGGAACTGTCCACATCACAGTCCAAAAAAGGAAAATTAACAATAGGGAAAGAAAAATCATCCCTTTCGTCGTAAATTTTTGTGTAGAGTTTCTGGTGTAAAACTGAAATGTCTAAATCTAGGAAAGGACACTTATTGCTGTTAATGTTTGATTTATATTTCCTTTGGGTAAATTTCGGCAGTATATTTAAAGAATTCTTGTTATTTAACGAAACAATATCATCAAGATAACGGTAAGTGTTGTTGAATTTATCAATTAAATGGAATTTAGACGGGTCTTTACTGAGTTTGGCCATAACAGTACAGAAACAAGTCTGCTATTAAAGGGGCACACTTGGTGTCCATAGGAATACCTACAATTTGTCGATGAGCTTTATTGCCGAAACATACATAAATGTTGTCAAGGAGAAAATTTATGGCTTTAATCATCTCATCATATATAAGTATATCTGTAGGGGGCGGGGGGGGGGGGGGGGGGGGGGGATAACCTATTTATACAAAGATTCATTTTTCTTAAAGTGGCATTTTCTATTTTTTGTATCAAGCATTCATAAAAGCGGAGACTTGAAATAATATTTCGTTATTAGCAGTCAGTTTGTTCAATTTTGTCAATAAATAACTGATTTATTATTCATGATTTTAATAACATATTACAAATATTTCAAAATTATTGTGGTTCTTTTTTCTCTGTCCTGTTTCGTGACAAAATTCATCTGTTTGGTGTATAGATAATGAGCCATTGTGAAGCGTTGAAGCTAAGTTCCCCAATTTCGTGTATAGAGTCTGGGCAATTGTTTTACAGAATGATTTTAAGGAGTACATGTAAGTCCGACTAAATTCTTCAGATCTTCATATCATTTTCATGTATCAAGATTTATGATTACATATCGTGTTCAGATAGGGTCCAGAAACAGAAACTTAAATCTACAACATTGGTTTATTTTAAGGCTACACAAAATGTATTCAAAACTAATCTTATTATTATAAGATGCCTAGGAATTTTAACTCTAACGCAATGTTATTTATTATGAAACTATTTTTGTTGATATTCAAGTAATATGTAAGCCGATATAATACCTTATAATTTAAAGTACTGCAACATTACAGTTTTTCGGTAGTCCACCATGAGCAAGACATATCAACATTTAAACGTGGAATATTTTGAAACTACACTACATTTCCTTTTTTTAAATGTCTTCATGAATATTTAAAATTGACACTCCCATGTCTTATAAAACACAAATTCAACATCAACTATGATAGTTCCCCTAACCACTCACAGCTGCCGTGACATTTTGGCTCCTTGAGCGAACAGCATAAATTCCTAAAATTCAACGCAGATTTTGGTTTTTTTGTCTTCAGTAAACGCTCTTATATCCGTAAATCAACTTTGCAATTAATCTATAAAGGGTACAAAAATCTATAAAATAGATCAACCACAATCTCCATTTCATGTTACAGAAGTTTTTTTTTCGCTTAGTACTATACAATTTGGGAACAGTACCAGTACGGCGTGAATAGTGGTGAGCTATATTTTCCTCAGCCTCACATATTTACGACCTCACATATTTACAGATATAAGAGTGTTTGCTGAGAGGTCTACTGTTTTATGGTATTGCAAGAGGAAAGAGACATATATTGTACTCTAATGGATCTTTTGATTTGTTAAGTATCTAAATCTGAATCACACCGCCACTAAGTAAGCCTTTTCACAGCAATCTTTGATTGAGTATTAAATAATTGATGTTGATAGTTTTGAAAGAGGTTTCTTGGAGCACTTGGAAGACCCAGCAATATAACATTGTTTGTAAGACACTTTTGCAATTTTGGTACCCTTTATGTTTGATTAACATCCAAAGGATCACAGAACAGACCTATGATTTTTTCAGGATTTCCTCTATGGTAAGTATCGTGTGTAATATGTGGAGTCTCCAAGGGAATTGTCAATACCTAATTCCGATGTAAGCAGATTTTGTAATTTGATTTACACACGAATACGATGTTATTCGGGCTTTATCTGCGAGGACAACATTTGGGTCTTTGAAGAGAGATGTAGCATGAGTGATTATAGACCCATTCAGTTTTTTTTTTGTATTAAGGACCTCACAGCCTTAACCCATTCAGAAAGAGTATCTACGTCATTTTTTACGCGTTTAGCCGATTGCCTGGCATACTCTTCGACTGAATCAATTAGTGTTTTAAATTTGTGTTTCCATTTTATGAATATAGGCTAACCGTATTTCGTCCTTTTGGTTAACACATTTCGAAGAGAAGTTTTGTTGTCAATGTTCAGATCCGGAGTATAACGTGGCCTGCCAGATTATATGAATAGGGAACTAGCAGAGGTGGACTTTTGAATTTGTCAATATCGAGATCCTGCAACACGTGTTTATAATTGAAAATTGTAGTCGTAATAGGTCATGTAGGTATGGTATAGGAATGATAGGAATATGTTGATCTTTTGAATAGGGAGGTATTGTTGAGCGAACTGATTTATGATGAATGAAGTATATTGCCTAAATTAATGGCATCGAGAACTTTGTTTGCAAAAGAAAGTTTTAGAAAAGATCGTTTCTCCGTAACATCTTTCACAATGAGAACTGGTTTGAAAAGTCTGTGATAGCTGTAAGTTTGTTTTGGCTTAAATGTGAGTTGTACAGAGATTGAAGTTTCGAAAGGGGGAGCAAATGCAGCTTCTTGTATGATATCAATGAAAACACCACGAAGAGAAGGTGATAAATAATGACGACGACCATGGCCGAGTCTACGCCGAGAAGCAGAGTTGAATGTATTCGTCACATTAACCGAGCTACAGGAAGGTCTAGATAGAATACCTATACCATCAATTTTGCCATTGCAACTATATGGTGTCGCAGTTCTAGATATCCAAACTTTCTTTAAAATAGAAGTAATTCCTGCGTCATACTGCACTCATAATCGATCATTTTTAAGTGTCTGAAACTTACAAAAATCTCATTTCATTACACCATGATAATATAAATTAACATTTTCTTTCTATATCTTTAAATATATCTTGGGAAGTCTGAATTTGTGTCATAATATACTTGTTTTTCGTAAAATAAACTACCTTTTGAAGAAGAATGCAAACAATCATCAGCAACAACGATATATAACATATTCCTTGTATATTAGTATATGTGTCGCACAAATGTAATATATATGGGTTGCTAACATTTTTGAATTCAACGTGTCATTGTAAAAATTCTCAATTCGTTCACTGTACAGGGAAACAACCGACATTGTATTACTCGAATTTTATAAAATACCCTGCTTGTTCAAAAGAGAGGCGAAAGATACCTAAGGGACATTCAAACTCATAAGTCGAAAATAAACCGACAACGCCATGGCTAAAAAAGAAAAAAAAAGACCAACAGACAATCAGACAAACAGACAGTACACAAAGCACAACATAGAAAACTAAAGACTGAGCAACACGAACCCCACCAAAAACTGGGGGCGATCTCAGGTGCTCCGGAAGGGTAAGCAGATCCTGCTCCACATGTGACAACCGTCGATTTGCTCATGTAAGTACACACCCGGTGATAAGTCAAATTCGATAGGTCACATTCGGGGAAAAGGGAATGGGATAATAGTTACGACAGTTGGAACATATCCATCGTCATCTGTGAAACATTTATTCCAAAATGGTCAACTAACTCGTGATGTCGTCCGTAAAATTAACGAAGGGATGAGTTGAACTTCACCACTTGGAACTCTTGTTTTAATATCTTCCTTGTGAGCAGCAATTCTCTATTAAGGAAAGCATGATAGGAAATAGAAGCCCTGGAATATCGTATCAACCGGGACTCCGTATGCAGGCGCTGCTGGAATGTTGCTACATAGAAATGGAAAGTTCACAATTGGGAAGCTGAAATCATCTCTTTTGTCGTTAAGTTTTATTTTTAATCGACCCACCAAGATATGAGGCAGACTTAACCGTATCTGTTGTATCCTTTATCTCAAGTTTGATAGGATAGATGTGTTGAACATAGTCACCAAAGTTTGAACTTAAATGTACATAGCGAATCATGAAAACCAAAATGTAATAATAGTAAAGATTTATAAGATAACTTAACATTGAATTTTGTATTTTTCAATGGTATAACTGTGTTTTACCCTCCAACAATTCCGAATATTTTACATTATGTTTACTGAAGATATAAGAAATTAGCAAGTTCCATTTGACATATTTCATTATCTTGATAAATTCATGTTTTGGTTTTATTTTCCGTTTGTCGCTTTAATAATTATGAATATACAATTGAATATTATTTTGACCTTTCGGTCACTAGTTCTTTTATAAGAAATTTATCTTTAAAACTTTAATGGATTATACACAATAAGAAAAAGTGAATAAACAAAATCAATAAAGCAAGCCGAATACTAGATTGAGACTGTGATACAAGTATGATGAAAAGCTGTAGCGTCGTTTCCTAAGATTGTTAAGGAGGTATTTCCGTCTAGGATATTGTTCGACTTAGTGGACAATCCGGAAACATTCTCGTATGTTCTGTTAACGGTACATCATCAGCTTCCCAATCACAGACACACCCACCACACTTGAAACATGTACATTTGTCAAGTATGCCTGAAAAGACGGAAATAAAATTAATGAATATTCAATTATTCTTATAAGTCAACATTTTACTTTCAATTAACTGAAAAATTTATTTTGTGCATGCACTGTATCAAATCAGGCTATCGGAATCATATATTGTTCGCTGTATTTGATTTTTTGCGTTTATTTTCTGTTTTTTCTCGAATGAATCAGTTGTTGATTTTGTACTGTTCGTTATTTTTTCAATTATTACTGATCTCTTTTTTTTCTGTATATTACGCGATCGAAACTTTGTACATCCGTAGTTGAAATAACTGCAGTGTTTCCGTAAGTTTGATAATTTAAAAATATAGTATTAATATTATACTTAGCTGCTATTTCAGATACAACTGAACTTTTAATATGGTTTACATTACTATTTAAAGCTCATGAGTGACAATTATTTATTCTCGCTTTTTTCAATGCAGTTCAACCATTAATATATAAATATAGTGAAAGAAAGTAAACGACAACTGTTGGTCACTAAGGTTCCAACTCCCTCAGGCACAGTTGACTAAAGTAAACTCCCTCAGGCACAGCCGACCAAAGTAAACTCCCCCAGGCACAGCTGACCAAAGTAAACTCCCTCAAGCACAGCTGACCAAAGTAAACTCCCTCAGGCACAGTTGACCAAAGTAAACTCCCTCAGGCACAGTTGACCAAAGTAAACTCCCCCAGGCACAGCTGACCAAAGTAAACTCCCTCAGGCACAGCTGACCAAAGTAAACTCCCTCAGGCACAGTTGACCAAAGTAAACTCCCTCAGGCAAAGAGAACCTGAGATTAGTTTAGCTATTCTTTAGGTCTCTTTTGGTCATATAGCTCCAAACGTTTCTAATCATTTTGTAACCCCTGAATTTCAATAAATCAGTGTATATTTTTCAAAAATTAAATGAATCAATGTGCATTTGTAGTTTATTTTACATGAAGTATGACTTTTGCATATGTGTTAATAATTATTGTATATTTAACCAAATCAGTTCATACTTAAAACACTACACCTGTATAATAAAATCCAGCTGAAGCCAGATCCATAGGACTCTGACGTAGATTATGTGGCCAATTTCGGAATGATGCAAGTCTCTCTTCATATTTTGCATACTTGCAAACTTTTTGACATTGTCCAAAATTAATAGCATGCTGTTGATGAACGTTATCGCCAGGTCTCAATCCACTCAGAACACACCCACAAAATGCACACTGCACTCTATCAGATGTTCCCATGTAATAAAATCCATCGTCACACAGTTCCTTCGGAGATATATTTGGATTAGACCATTGCTGAAAGGTTTTCATTCTCAGTTCATAGTTCTCTCTCATTGGTCGAAGTCTTTCTAATGGATGCTGTGGGACATCATCATAGCCCATCCTGTAGTTGCAACAGATGTATATTCACCACAATTTTTCTATATGGAAAACAGGTAAAAAAGACAGAGAATTAATTATAGCAATTTTAAATGAAACATTGGCTAATGAAAGCACTATTCATGAATATTATTGGTCCAACATTTACAGGAAGACAAGTGTGCAGTTCTTTGATTTTGTTGTACAAGTTTTCTACAAGCTAAAATGTTTAAATGATTATAAGTTGTATAAAGTACTGATGAGTTCTTGATTTTATATTTGAATCAATATCTTACAAGGAAGATAATGTATCATGTATATTAATTTGATTATTTATAAAAGTATATGTTTAAATATCGGTTTAAATATCAGCCATTTGCTTGTTTACGACGAAAGTATTCAAATTAGTAGGAGTTAGAATGAGTGAATCCAGCTCAATTTTGATATGATGGGTCTTAACATTTTAAAAATTGCTATGCACGTGTTTATATCAACCTCGAATTTTGCTACATTGCGAGGACTTTGATATTGTCTGTGAAGCTAATCAAAAGGATATAAGCATAAAGAAAGGTGACACATTATGATATTATGCTTTATAGGAGCACAGCTTATGTTGAAAATGCGGAATGTAAAACGCCCCTTTGAAAACTAAATGTTTTTATTTTAAAGTCCAGTAAAATTTCATCAAACACATATATTCAAACATGGTAAATAAAGTAAAAAATGAGAAGTGCATGTTACATTTCTAATTAAGATAAGCTTTATTCTAATATTCGAAAAAATAGATATGCACGCTTTAGCTTAAAGTAGCTTACTTATTTTGTAGGACAAATTTATTCCTTCCCTGAAACAGTTATGTCGCAGTTTATAGATTAACACTGATTTAAAGCTTGAAAGCGGAAGATTTTAATTCATAAGGTCGAATATGTCAACTGATAGTGTTTTGAAAGTGTTTGTTTAACCTGTTAGTTTTTGTAAAATCCAATATTTTTGTCGTATACATTATCAAAAACAATTGAACTATATTGAATGTATTACTCAAATTCATCTCAAGCCATATTTCCTCATGGTTTTTCTTAAAGTTATTGACTTGGTTCCCTGAACTATTCAGATTTGGTTTAACAGTGAACTTGACTATGACCACGTCTATTTATATTTGTGGATAATTGTTTCCTTATTTCATTTAAAAAAAATCAAAACAAAATGATAAGAAAGTCCTAAGATATTCTGTAAGAGCATTCCAACCTTTGATTTCACACGTACCATAAATATGATTTTTTTTTTAATTGAGAAAAGATGAATTAACAATAATGTAAACAATTGAAAACAGTGCTGCATGGACTACATTTTCGTTGACGACAAACATAGAAGAATCATCATGTGTTGTTGGTTTTGTACTCTAGATTTAGTTCTCTCACCCTCTCGTCGTTATATCCTGAGCTTATTTAACACACTGTAGAAATCATCATAATATAAAATTTTGTGTTTTCTTCATTTGTTTCTTTAATCATGCCTTATTGAGCTAATATAAGTTGTTCTGGCACCTTTTCTGCCGTAATTTTGGACTGCGCTCCATAGGTACAATTTTGCTTATTATCTACCTTTAGATTTGTATACACATGGCATGTAACGCTAGTCAAACTTTAACATTTTGGTTCCTGTGGATAACTTTAGTGTATGTATGACTTAATTACTTTATTTTTGAGATAATGTCATGTTGCAGAACGCTTACCTTTAATAATTTAGTTGTTCGATTGATATTTTCAGTAATTTGAGACAAATACACCTTATCGCTATTCCCGCTTGACCCGAGAATCTGTCCCGCTCGAACTTTTGACGTCATACAACAATCACTTTTCCATTGTGGCGTCAGACATTTTCTATTATGACGTCAAAATTTTACGGGAACTTGTGTGATGTCCAGTAATGGCGGACAAATAGCGATAAGGTGTATTGAGCCGTCGCTCTTGATAATTGTGTAGTTTTGATAAATTCATATTTTTTGTATGAAATAAGCCCGTTTTAAATCTTAATTGATATTTCCCTTGGTCTATATCAGAAATCTAAGCCTTTTGAGAAATTTATATCATTTTTGTACAAGGGTTATGCTCGAAAATTTTCTGTGTATGGAACGCAAAAGGTGTCATAATTGAACGTGTCTAAATTTTTGTATTTTTGATGAAACTCGATTTTTCTGTTAAAACAAGTGCTTGAATGCGTTTTTCTTTGTATTTTGTAGCTTTTTACCTGCATTACGTCCAATAAAGATTATTTGAAGACCTGTCTTATATTTAATTGACTACTGTTGGATCTAATCCGGTACATACTTTCTGTGGTGACAGAACAGTAAAAAGACTATACCATCAACTCGACACTAGAGATTTACATTTTTATCACCAACGCACTCTGCATACGATGATTTACAATAATTGAATCTGCTGTCAATCACATTCCATGATGGATAAAGGTTTTGAATCGTTACGTATACGAAAACTCACAGAAAAGGCAGCCATAGAATTTGAAGCTACCAATGATTATTTTGTGGCCTCTCTGCACGGAAAGTGGACCACAATCAAAAATCTTATATCAAGTTTCAGTTCGGCGATCACGACCGTCGACTATATTGACAATATTGAAAAAGACATTTCGAAAGCTTATACTGAGCTATGCACAACGTCTTCATCATATATGTCATTCCTAACGAACACTCGAACAGAAGACAGCATCAGATACTATCATGAACACTTAGATACAATTGCTAAATGCAAGAAATCAGTAGACGAGGCCATAAAACACATAGACGATGCACACCAAAGGGCATTAGAAGTCGCCTCACAACGAACCAAGAGTTCAGCACGACATTCCCAAGGTTCAAATGCTTCGTCTGCACTTTCTAGGAAACGAGCAAAAGCCGAAGCGGCAAAGGCAAAATTGATTTTTGCAGAGCAAGAAATCATCCTGAAAAAAGAACAAGCTGCTCTCGAAGAGCAAGAAATGACTACAAAGGCAGCGTCCTCACGAAAAATGTTAGAGCTGGAGGCTGATTTGAAACTCCTAGCTAGCCGTCAAGACTTGGCCGTAGCAGAAGTGGAAGCAGAGGTTTATGAGTCAGGCAGCGTTATGAATGGCCCGTCATTGCATAATCTTGAAAAACTTGATCAGTTAAAACTGATAAATCCAATCGAGAGGACAAATCAATACGTTAAAGACCAAATAAATTTCATCAACCCCGATAATCATCCCATACTAGAACCTGCTGCTCCACTAAATGTTAATGCGCAAACTTTTAGTCCCGTAATGCAAGATAACAACATTCAGCTATCTAATCCGCCGTTTCAAAACTTGAGTGTGCAAAATGATCAAATTCAAGATCTTACAAAGTTTCTACTTAAGAAAGACATGCTTATTTCTAGACTGTCGTGTTTTAATGATCGACCCGAAACTTATCCGTTCTGGAAGGCTCAATTCAAGGGAATTATGCAAGAGCTATCAACAACCGACATTGAAGAGTTAGATTTATTATCAAAGTGGTTAGGACCGCAATCTTACAAGTACGCTCTAAGCATTCGTTCTGCTAATACGTATAATCCTAAGCGAGCATTACAGCAAATTTGGGAAAGACTTGACGAACTATACGGGAGTCCGGAATTGTTAGAATCAGTGCTCAAAACAAAGCTCTCAAAATTTCCACGTCTTACCAACAAAGAAAATATCAAACTTTATGAGCTTCTGGATATTTTATGTGAGATTGAATCGTTAATGAACGATCCAAAATATCAGTCACTGCTTGGATATTACAACTCGTCGTCAGGTGTCCTACCGATTATTGGCAAACTGCCTTACAATCTGCAAGAGAAATGGACAAGCCATGCTCATAGATATAAAACTAAGCACCATGTAACATTTCCACCATTTACTTGCCTTGTAGAATTCATGCGCGACATGACAAAGATGAAAAATGATCCTGGTTTTTCGTACCCAAATGAGTCATCCAGTACTCCAACAATTGTGAAGGAAACGGACAAATTTCCTCGTAACAATCATGGTCGACCACAAATCGCAGTTAATAAATCCGAAGTTAAACCTGAAAGAATTCAAGTCAGTAAAACTTGTCCACTGCATAACACGAATCATAGCCTCAACAGTTGTCGCGGATTCAAAGAAAAATCCTTTGAAGACCGAAAGAAGTTCTTGCGTGAACATAACATTTGTTTTAAAATGCTGTATTTCAGATCAACACAAGTCCAAGGACTGTATGGAAAAGGTCCCTTGTGAAACATGTGGAAGTGAATCTCATTCATCAGCAATGCACTTACAACAGAAACCTAGAGTCAATCATGGTGGGGAGAAAATTGATCGTAACATACCGGAACCGGATGCGGTAATAAAATGTACACAAATCTGCAAACAACAATTTTCTGGCAAATCATGTGCAAAGATAGTGCAAGTAAATATTCACAGATCAGACTGTCCAAGCAAAACTATGAGATCATATGCGATCTTAGATGATCAGAGCAACAAGTCTTTGGTGAACGCCAATGTTCTGGAAACACTAGATATTACTGGTAATGCTACAGAATATAAACTTACCTCGTGTGCAGGCGTTATACAAACCTCAGGAAGACAAGCTGACGGTCTTGTTGTTACATCGTTGGATGGAACTGTAAGTCTTACTTAACCTACCGTAATTGAATGTGACCGCATTCCTCAAATTCGGGACGAGATTCCCACTCCAGAGGTGGCGAAATATTATCCTCATTTACAGGAATTAGTGAAATACATACCAGAAATAAACGACAATATTCCGATCTCGATCCTTATTGGGAGAGATTTACCGGAAGCTCACCACGTTTTAGAACAACACACTGGTGTCAGAAACTCTCCATACGCTCAGAGATTACCACTAGGCTGGGTAGTTGTAGGTGAGTCTTGCCTACACAAAGTTCATCCACCAAAGAACAATGTTATCGTCAATAAAACTTTCGTATTGCGAAATGGAAGGACTTCAATTTGTGAACCCTGTCCGAACGACATCGAAATTCAGCAATTGAATATGTTAAATGGACAATCTAAGTCAGACTCACAAGAAACTCTCGACAATTCAATATTCTTAAAAAAGAAAGATGACGATACTGTAGGACTATCAATGGAAGATAAAGAATTTCTAATGGTCATGGATGAACACGTTCATCAGAATTCCGATGGTAACTGGGAAGCCCCGTTACCATTTCGTTCCCCTAGGCAACTCCTACCGAACAACAGATCACATGCATTTAAGAGAGCAACGAACTTGGATGCAAGTCTTCGAAGAGACGAGAAGAAAAGGGAACAATTCTTCGAGTTTATGGAGAAAGTATTTGAGCGTAGACATGCAGAAATTGCACCGCCTTTGAGCCCAGATGATGAGCGATGGTACTGACCTATTTTTGGGGTGTATCACCCACGTAAACCGAACAAAATCAGAGCCGTCTTCGACTCTTCCGCCAAATATGCAAACGTTTCTCTCAATGATGTACTTCTTCCCGGACCAGACCTGAATAACAAACTTCTTGGTGTGTTGTTAAGATTCCGGAAGGAGCTTATAGCCGTCACAGCAGACATCGAGTCTATGTTCTACTGCTTCGTCGTTAATCAGGAACACAGAAAATTCCTTCGTTTCTTCTGGTACGAAAACAATGACTTCGAAAAGAATTTGGTTGAGTACCAAATGAGAGTGCATGTATTTGGAAATTGTCCGTCTCCGGCAGTTGCTTCATATTGCCTTAGAGAAGCAGCCTCAGTAAACAAAACTACAAACGTATCAGATGTAGTTGAATTCGTTAGTAGAAATTTCTATGTAGACGATGGTTTGGTCTCACTTGCAACATCAAGGGAA